TCAAGCAATTCTCTCACCTCAGCCTCCCAAAGTGCTGGGATTATAAGCAAGCGTCACCGTGCCTGGTGAGGCATGAGTATTTCTAAAGAAAGCAGCTTCCAGCCCCTCCTTGTCCACAAGCACCTGTCATAGAGGGTGATTTCCTCATTCGTTTGTTCCTACTATCCCTGTATTGTCATCCTTGCCAATTAGGGCAGAAAGCAAGCCTCTGCCTTCCGGAAGCTTACCGTGTGCATTGCTCAGGAAGTAGCTCCCTCTAGGAGGACAAGCAAAGGGACAGTTCAAGATGTCATCAACTAGCTGGGCGTGGTGGTTCACACCTATAATCCAGGCACTTTGGGGAGGCAGAGGAGAGAGTATTGCCTGAGCCCAGTAGTTTGAGACCAGCCTGGGCAACTTGGCGAGACCTTATCTCTACAGTAAATTAAAAAATTAGCCGGGTATGGTGGCACGTGCCTGTGGTTCCAGCCACTTGGAAGACTGAGGTGGAAGGATCGCCTAAGCCCAGAAGGTCGAGGCTGTGGTGGCTTTGAGTGTGCCACTGCACTCCAGTCTGGGCAACAGAATGAGACTCCAACTCAAAAAAAACAAAGACATGTCATCAACTGTGTTGAAACAAGTCATGTCAAGGCTAGGCAGCAAATGTGTTTGTAAGTTACGTGATACGTGATTGTCTGCCTTCCGCCAAATTGAAGGGTCACGTTGTTGGTGTGTCAGTGACAACATTAGGAGTGATTCTGTCACAGATCATTGTATTTTCTTTTTTAGCACTAACACAGAATGTCTCTGAAGACACCTGTGTGCCATTTCTAGAACGAAGCACTTTCTAGTCCCATCTATGTAATAATGTACACAGGTCTGCATCTACAAAACAAAACACCGGGTGTAGAATTGGAGCAGAAGCCACGTCCACTCCTCCAATGCTACTTATTCATCTCAGTCAGAGACCCCTTTCCAGTGTATTCTGACATTTAATGTTAGAGGGTTATTTGTCAAAAGGCTTTATTTGCGTTGTGTTGTTTACATCGTTTGGCCCATTGTGTGTCTTTGCAATGATAACTCAAACCAGAAGAAATGCTTTCTAAACACCAGGAGTTTAGGAGCAAACGGCTGCCCAGTGTGATAGGGTGACCAATGCACCACCCGGCAGTACAAATAGGCCACCTTAAGATGCAGTTCTGTGGCGGAAGCAGGTGGGAATATGAGTGAACTTCCGTCTGTTAAAGCAGGACTTGTTTGTGTAGTCCTGTAAATAATAGATGCTGGTGTGGATCAAATCACTGTGTAGGTTGTACTGGATGCCAGGAATGAGGCTGTGGCAGTTTTATTTTTACGTGTCAACGTTTAGAATGTGCTAAACATGTGATTTACAACCATTTCAACTAATGAGGAAAATGTTTGGTGTCTGTTTTAAAGTGAGCAGGGACGGCTGGCTTAGTCCATTCTGGCTGCTATGGCAAGGTATCAGGACTGGGTGGCTGATACCCAACAGAAATGTATTTCTCACAGTTCTGGAGGCTGCAATGGGATCAGGGCACCAGGAGATTCGGTGTCTGGTGAGGGCAGCCTCTTGGTTCATTGATGGTACATTTTCTCTGTGTTCTCAGGTGATGGAAGAGGTGAGGTAGCTCTCTGGGGTCTCCCTGTTTTTTTCTAGGGGCAGAGTCTCACTCTGCCACCCAGGCTGGAGTGCAGGGGTACAATCATGACTTACTGCAACCTCAGACTCCTGGGTTCAAACGACCCTACCACCTCAGCCTCCCAAGTAGCTGGGACTACAGGCGCACACTACCATGCTCAGCTATGTTTTTTGTTTGTAGAGATGAGTCTCACAATATCGCTCAGGCTGGTCTTAAACTCCTAACCTCAAACGATCCTCCCACCTCGGCCTCCCAAAGTGCTGGGATTACAGGCAAGAGCCACCATGCCCAGCCCGGGGTCTCTTTAGGGCACGAATTCATAACCCTTCGCTCATGAGGACTCCAGTGTCATGACTTAATCACTTCCCAGAGGTCACACCTAATGCCGTGACCTCAGAGCGAGAATATGGGTCCACCACACTCTTAAAGTACAGCAAGCCAACCTGATTGGAACCTGCTAGACTTTGGGGCTAGACGGAGCATGGGCTTAAGATGAAACCCATGTTGGCCTCTTGGCTCCAACACAGACTAGCCACGTGCCTAGACAGGTGATTCAGTTTCCCTGAGGGACTGTCCCTCGTGTGTAAAATGGCGATTGTGGCCCTGTGAGAGCAGCTTTGCTAGGCAGGTGGCGACGCTGTCTGCAGGGAGATAGTTACGAACACCAGATCCAGAGCCAGACTTGGCTTGAGCAACCTCCCTGGGTGGTGTCTGCATCCTAGCTCTCCTACTGTCACCTTGGGCAGGCTACTCAACCTCTCCAGGCCTCTGTTTCCCTCCCTGGGAAATGGGTATAATAATGGCGCCTCCCTCTGGGGGTGGGGCCATGCCTGGCCGTCATAAGCATGAGCTGTTATGAAAGCACCTGGCTCTAACGCGCTCACCAGCTGCCAGCTTTCCTCACTCTCCTGTGCCTGCCCTGAGCCCCTCGTCCGTGGACCCAGGAACCCCCGTGCTCTGGTGGCTGCTGCCTCTCTTCTCTTCACATTCAGAGCCTTTCCTAAAATCCCCAGTTCCCTCCCGGCCACACCCTGCCCAGGGAATGCCTTCAAAGCCCCCCTAGAACTCTCGCCAGGCACTCAGGACCCCCAGAGGCTGCTAGAGTTCACCTTAGTGGCCCAGATAGAGCGACGTCCAGCAACACCCCCCACACCTCTTCGCAATCCCGCTCTCTGCCCAAGCCCCAGGGCCCATCCTCCCGCCTTTCCCAGGACCCCTTGGCTAAACCCCGCTTTGCCCTGTGCGGGGTGCCTTGGAGGAGGCAGACAGGTGCTAGGTGCTGCTCTAGCCAAGGCCACAGAGCGTGCACATCTGCGGTGCGATCAGAGGCTGCCGGCCACTTAACAGCCCTCCCGTCCCACCCGGGAAGCTCAGCCCCAACTGCCACTGCTCGCACCATGACTCTCTTTACGCTTGTGGTGTGTTGAGGGGCTTCCTGTGGGTGCATTGGTGGGCATGTGGGGTCCTGGGCCACTTGTGAAACGACCACACTTTAATACAAACCAGGCCTGACCTGCCTCAGCTGCTCCTTCTTCCTATGAAATGTGACGAGGACATCGGGGAAGGGGTGAGCGGTGGAATTGGCTGTTTTGGGGTCTTTTCTCAGAGCGAGGAGACTGATAGCTCAGAACTACCTCTGGATGGCAGCTGCTGACCATTCTCGGCCTGTCTCAGCAAAAGAGAAGTGTCCTTGGGACCGAAGCCACACCAACTCCTTGAGGCCAGTTTTCCATCCCAGTTACCTCATAGGCCCTGTCCTGAGAACAGGGCAGCACTGCCAGGCACCCCTGGCCCACGCAGCGTGCTGTGACACACCTGCATAGGGTGGGGGGACTCAGAACAGAAAACCGTCAGGCTCAGAGTGACAGGGCTCCAGAGAGGACCTGGCACAGGGTCAAAGACTGTATGGGTAGCGCTTCGAAGGAATTTATTTGGGAAGCAATCATCAAACTCTGGCTGTGTGTGCTGCTGGGAGATAACAAAGAAATAGAGTCCTGCCCCCGAGGAAGCCACATCTGGGGGGACACGGATGGAGAGGGAGGTTACGAGCTGTGTGTGTAACAAGCGCTGATGCGGATGCTATGGGTACATGGAAAGGGCAGCTAACTGTAACTCAGGAGAGTGAAGAAGGCTTCTTGGAGGAGGCGCTGCCAAATTGGCCTAGGAGGATGAAGAGTTCTGCTGGCGAGGGGGGAGGGCAGAGGCAGAATGGGCAAGACGGAGCATTTGGGGCGGCTTGTGTTGTTCCCGAAGGTGGATGCTGGGCCCCAAGCCCACAGGACTGGGGAGCAGGAGAGGCGGGAGGTATATGGGGAAGGGGTCATGGCGGCCTTGCTGGGCAGATGGCGGTGGGCATCCCTGGCAGGGGAATGTCTTGGACTAAACCCCAGGGTGCAGGGACGTATGGCACATTGGAGGAGCTGGAGGATGGCCAGCCTGTGAGGGCAGCTGGCCTGGGAGTGTCCGTCCATGTGTGGACAGGGACAGGAGGTGGTCGGACTGTGGAGCAGGAGGGTCTGGGGGGATCTTCCGGCTCAGTCCTCTGGGGAGTGAGAGCCACAGAGGGTTGTAGGCAGGGGAGGGCTGTGATCAGATGTGTTCGGGAAGGCCACTCCTGTGACAGAACTGGAAGGACAGACTTAGGCCAGGGGTTCTGAGTCAAGGCAGTGGCGGAGGACAGAGATGGGGAGAGAGCTGGGTCTGGAAAGCCTTCAGGCCAGTAATTCTCAGACTCCGGGTGGGCATCAAACTCACCTAGAGGGCTTTTTAAAAGCAGGCGTCAGGCTGGGCACAGTGGCTCATGCCTGCAATCTCAGCACTTTGGGAGGCCAAGACAGGAAGATCGCTTGAGGCCAGGAATTGGAGACCAGCCTGGGCAATAGAGCAAGCCCCCATCTTTGAAAAAAAAAATTAGCCAGGTGTGATGGTGCACATCTGTAGTCCCAGCTACTTGGGAGACTGAGACAAGAGGATCCCCTGAGCTCAGGAGTTCAAGACTGCAGTGAGCCATAATTTCACCACTGCACTCCATCCTGGGAGACAGAGCAAGACCCTTCCTCTAAAAAAAGTCAGAGATTGCTGTCCCACCCCCAGACAGCTGAATGGCCGAGAATCTGCATTTCTTACTTTCCCAGGGATACTGAGGCTGCTGGCCTGGGACCCACACTTTGAGAAGCATCACCTTAGGCTTAGGTGACAGGGCTGACTTGAGCCATCAAGTTTGGAGGTGTCTGGAGGGCAGGACCCGCAGGACGGCACTTCCTGGCTAGGGTAGAGATGGCCTCACTCTGCTCCACCCTGCTCTGTGCTGGGCATCTGCCCACAATGACCTTCAGCTCTCATGTCTGATTTCCCTTCCAGGCGGCACCTCCCTGAGCTTCCTGGTGTTGGTGACAGGCTGCACATCTGTGGGCAGGATTCCAGATGCCGAAATCTACAAGATCACCGCCACCGATTTCTACCCTCTTCAGGAGGAGGCCAGGGAGGAGGACCGCCTCGCAGCCCTGAAGAAGATCCTCAGCTCCGGCGTGTTCTACTTCTCGTGGCCCAACGATGGTGCTCGCTTTGACCTGACTGTCCGGACACAGAAGCAGGGCGATGACAGTTCTGAGTCGGGGAACTCCTTCTTCTGGTGAGGGCCCTGGGTCCCCTGCTTGCCTCTCCCACAGAGGCTGGGCTCCCATTGACCGCTGAGTCCTTGGCCTCTATCTTGTGTAGATCCAGGGCTGTGGGGTCCCTCTGGGGAGTTGTGAACCGTGTCAGCTCTCAGCACAAGAGGAAGAAAACCAGCCCCAAACTCGCAGCCCTGTGGGCTTGGGGTGTGTGCTCAAAGGGGTCTAATGTAGATTTAGAAAAGAAAACTGTCTGGGCACAGTGGCTCATGCCTGATCCCAGCACTTTGGGAGGCTGAGGTGAGAGGATTGCCTGAGTTCAGGGGTTTGAGACCAACCTGGGCAACTTGGTGAAACCTCATCTCTACAATAAATTAAAAAAAACCAGCTGGACGTAGTGGCATGCTCCTGTAGTTCCAGCTACTTGGAAGGCTGAGGTGGAAGAATTGCCTGAGCCTAGCAGGTCGAAACTGCAGTGGCCATAAGCGTGCCGTTGCACTCCAGCCTGGGCGACAGAGTGAGACCCCTACTCAAAAGAAAAGAAAAGAAAGCCCGGCCCTGTGAGTAAAGAGCATGAGAGCCAGTGTCTGCAAGGGTGTCCCCTGGGCCAGGCAGTGCTTCTGCCTAGACTGGCTCTTTGGTCTCCTCATTCCTTAGGGTGTAGTTACTTAGCACTGACACTCAAAGCACTCACGTGCTGGCCACTGTTCTAAGCTCTCTGCAGGTAATAACTCATTTTTATCATCATAATCCTTGTGATAATCCATGAGGAAGGGTCTGTGACCCCATTTTACCGACAGGGAGACTAAAGCATGAACAAGTGAAGGAAGGTTGCCAAACTCCACACACTCAGTAGGGGCAGAGCCAGGATTTGAACCCTGGCCTTCTGACTCCAAATCTCAAGCTGATAATCACAATGTTAACCCTGCATCTTCAAGGAGGAAACTGAGTCAAATTGCCCAAGGTGACTTTCTGAGTAATGTTCTAAGACAAGTCCAAAAGCCCAGGCAAATTGCGTGTTTAGGTCACCTGGTGCTCCTTCACGCCAGGAAGGACAGAGCTGAGGGTGGATGGCCCTTCAAATATATATGTACCTGATCTGGTAGCTTTTCTGGGCTCTAGGGTCAGGAACCTGCTAAGTCCTGGGAAGGGGAGGCTGGTGGTTCCATGCCCTGGTCCTGCCCAGTGGTCAGTAATGCCATTTTTCCCAGATGCACATAGAGGCCTGAGAGCCAGGCAGAGGTAGAAGGAGGATCTTGCTGTGGGGTTGTTCCAGAGGCCTCCTCTAATGCAGTGGTTTTGTATTCCTGTGTCCCTAGAGGGGGCTACACCTGTGTTCTCAGTCCTGAGACGAGACTAGGGAGGAGTGTCTCTGTCCTTTTTTTTTTCCTTTTTGAGTTGGAGTCTCACTCTGTTGCCCAGGCTGGAGTGCAGTGGCATGCTCACAGCACTCCATTGTCGACCTGCTGGCTCCGGTGATCCTTCCGCCTCAACCTTCCAAGTAGCCGGAACTATAGGCATGCACTGCCAATGCCCAGCTACTTTTTTTATTTATTGTAGAGACGAGGTCTCGCCAAGTTGCCCAGGCTGGTCTCGAACCCCTGAGCTCAGGTAATCCTCTTCCTCTGCCTCCCAAAGTGCTAGGATTACAGGCATGAGCCACCATGCCTGGCTATGTCTCTGTCCCTTGATGGTGTCCTCCTCGCTCTGCCCAGAGGCTGTCATGGTTCCATTATGGGAGAGATGCTCTTTCCTTGGCACTTGGGATCCGCCCCCATGTGGATCCCTGACTTTTCTTTGGAGAAAGAGGCTGTTGGCACATCCTCGTGCACCTCAGTGCTTCCTCCCAGAGCCGCTTCAGTTTCTGGAATTGTTGAATTTGGGGGACAGTACTAGGGTCAGACCTTAAAATGCTCAGGATCTCCTGCTGATCTTGAAAAATACGAATTCCTATCCCATGGGTCCAGGCTGGGCTTGAGACTCTGCATTGCTAACCAGCTGCCAGTGGTCCAAGGCCAAGCTGATTAGAAGGCTCCAGGGGAGGCATTTCTGTGAATGCAGGGAGCAGTATGTGCCCTAGAGCTGTTGCTTGTGCCCCTGAAGGCAGCGAGCTTAGGTGCAGAGGCAGTGGATTGTGAGGGGTCTTGACACTGAAGTGACAGAACTGTTTTACGCTAGGACTGTGGAGTGAGCAGAGGCAGGAGATCTGAGGCTTTGACATTCTTTGGAATCCATAGACAATCCCTGGGGTGTGGAGGTGACATCTCTCAGAGGCAGTGGCATTCCTTAGAAACTGTAGGAGATCCCTAGGGTGCTGGAGGTAACATCTCTCAGAGGTGGTGACATTCCTTGGAACCCATAGGCGATCCCTGGGTGACATCTGTCAGAGGTGGTGACATTCCTTGGAATCCATAGGCAATCCTTGGGGTGTGGAGGTGAGAGCCCTCAGAGGTGGTGACACTCTTTGGAATTCATAGGCGATCCCTGGGGTGCTGGAGGTGACATCTGTCAGGGTGGTGACACTTCTTGGAATCCATAGACAATCCCTGGGGTGTGGAGGTGACATCTCTCAGAGGCAGTGGCATTCCTTGGAAACTGTAGGAGATCCCTAGGGTACTGGAGGTAACATCTCTCAGAGGTGGTAACATTCCTTGGAACCCATAGGTGATCCCTGAGGTGTGGAGGTGAGAGCCCTCAGAGGCAGTGACACTGCTTGGAGGCCGCAGGCTGACCCAGGGATGCAGGATTGCACAGCACCTGTGTGCCTGCCCTTCCCCTAGGCCAGCTCTGTCGCTGAAGATGGGAGGGACATGGTGACAGTAAGTCATAGAGCAGCTTCATAAGATGGAGACTGAGAGGCACTTGGGGAAAAGACTCCAGGGTGTCCCTTTCAGAAGTAGAGAGGAAGAAGCGGCTGTGCAGGGTGTCCGGTGCTGGACTGAAGCACTCTAGGATGGGTGTTGTGCTCGGCGTAGAGCCCCCAGAACTGACTGTGACTGAGTCACCCCGGGCAGCGCAGTCCCGGGCTTGATGGCCTAAACCCACTGTGTTGGGGTACAGTGCTTGAGGTCTGGAGGCCCACAGGGGTCACACAGAGTCATCACTGACAGCTGCTTCCCAGTATGCCAGGTCCTGGGAGACACAAAGTTCTGCTTTCCTTTGTAGATTTGGGGGTCTTCCTTCTAGGATATAAGCTATCCTTCCCCAGAGGCTCAGGCATGTGTCACGAGAAACGGGGTTGATTTCAGGGTTGTCTATTTGGCAAAAGGTACCTCTTCCTTATTTATGGTGATGGCAGCCACAACCGTGGGGTTGGAAGACTCTGGAATATTCTGGAGACTTTGCCCTGATGCTGTGTGCAGATTTAGTATATATATATATTTGGGTTTTTGTTTGTTTGTTTCTTAGAGACAAGGTCTCATTCTGTCATCCAGGCTGGAGTGCACTGGCATGATCATAGCTTACCATAACCTCAAACTCCTGGACTCAAACAATCCTCCCGCCTCAGACTCTCAGCAATTAGCTGGGACTGCAGTGCATGCCACCATACCCAGCTAATTCTTTTATTTTTTTGTAGAGGCTGGGTCTCTCTGTGTTGTCTAGGTTGGTCTCAAACACCTGACCTCAAGTGATCCTCCTGCCTCAGCCTCCTGAGTCGCTAGGATGACAGGCATGAGCCACCATGCCCTGCTTTAATATAGGTATTTTAAAGCACATAACCTGTGACCTCTTCCCGGGGCGACTCAGTTGTGGCCAGTTCTGGGGGCTCTACCCTGACCCCCAGATACCACTCCCTGGAGTGTGTTACAGCCTAGCAGCGGGGCACGCTTCAGAGTTGCTTCCTCCTCTCTGCTTCAGAAAGGGACACCATGGACTCCTTCTCCCCTCCCAAAGCCCCTCTCATGTTTCCTAGCTGGTGACAGATCTGAGCATGACCAGGAGGTGGATACGTGCTTTTGTAAAGCACTGCTTCCTGGTCAGCATTTTTCAAGCACAGCAGCACCGTGTCAATAGGAGCTCAGAGGAGTCACACATGGGTCGTGCTCCCTGAAGGGGTGCAAGTGGCCGAGGTCACAGTTGAGGAGGCTGGCCTGAGAGCAGGGAGCTTGGAGGAGCCCCGGAACCTGCCAGAGCTCCCAGCACAGATTCCCAGCAGTGAGAAGAGGCTGCTGTCTTGGAGGAAGGCTTGCAGGTGGGACTCGCGTTACCTTTGTTTAACAAGTTGGGCATCTTGATCTGAATCCCCTCTGTGACCTGTGAGAGTCTCCTGCTGATGGGTCTTGCTCCCTGGGATGGGTCACGGCCTCAGAAGGTACCGCCCAGGTCCCCTGGGTGCTGGGGGAGTGCATAGGGGAGGGAGTAAGATGTCGTTAGCAGGTGCAGATAGAAGGAGGGGGGACTCATACAGAGAGGCTGGGTGAAGAGCATGGGCACCAAACTCCCTACTGCCACTGGCTAGCTCTGTGACCTTGGGCAATTACTTCATGTCTCTGTGCCTCAGTTTCTTTATCTATAAAATGGGTTTACCTTACACATAGGGTCATTTCAAGGGTGAAGTGAGTCATCACAAAGTACTTAGGATGGTGCTCAGTGCACATGTAATCATTTTGTGTCACCCCATCGATATCACCAGGGACTCCAGAGCCCAGAACGTTCCACTGGGTGTGGGGAGGAAATGCTGGAACTTGCATTTGTTGTCTTTTCTTTTCTTGTTTTTGAGACATGGTCTCGCTTTCTTGTCCAGGCTGGAGTGCAGTCATATGATCATAGTTCACTGCACCTTCTCATTCTTGGGCTCAAGCGATCCTCCTGCCTCAGCCTCCCAAGTCACTGGGACTACACGCATGCACCACTATGCCTGGCAAATGTTTTAATTTTTTTGTGGAGACGGGATCTTGCTGTGTTTGTCCAGGCTGGTCTCAAACTCCCAGTCTCAAGTGATTCTCCCACCTCAGACTCTGCCTGAGAGATGAGATCTCACCGTATTGTCCAGGCTGGTCTCAAGCTCTTGGCCTCAAGTGATCCTCCTACTGGCATGAGCCCCTGCCCCCGGCCAGGTTTTATTTTCACCTCATCCTTTTTTATTTATTTTGGCTTGCTTGGTAATGCTCTCAGCATATTCATCTCAGGATGTGTGTGTATAGATGCATATAATTTAAGTGTGCAGATGTTTAATATAATTATTTTTTATTCTTTACCATGATTGTTATTTAATCCTAAAGCATGATTACGTTTTTTACTGAGGGGGCTTACGTTTGGAGGCCCCGGGGCTGAGCAGAAGCTGCTCAGTGCCCTACAAAGGACACATGACAGGCTCCCACTCCAGCCTCCGTTAGCTGACGGTGACTGCCTGGTGGGAGCTTTGGGAAGGAATTTCCTGCCCTTCCTCCTGTCCGCGCCACAGGGGCCCTGCCACTTGGGATCTCTCTGAAGTATGTGACCTTCCCAGATCTTCACACCCCAAGTGTGGAGTCTGAGGGGGAATAGTGTGCCCTGGTCCCATCCCGACCCAGACGCTGCCCCCTTGGGCGCCTCCATCCTTGCTCTGGAGGGTGTGAGATGACCCGCATCGGGGTGGGGCTCTGTTTGCAGGAACCAGCTGCTGCACGTGCCCCTGAAGCAGCACCAGGTGAGCTGTGGCGACTGGCTGCTGAAGGTCATCTGTGGGGCGGTGGCCATCCGCACGGTGTACGCCTCGCACAAGCAGGCCAAAGCCTGCCTCATCTCCCGCATCAGCTGTGAGCGTGCAGGCGCTCGCTTCCACACCCGCGGCGTGAACGATGATGGCCATGTGTCCAACTTCGTGGAGACAGAGCAGGTGAGTGCCAGGCCCCTCTGTGGCACCGAGGGGGTCAGGGTGGAGGCAGCGCACACAGACGCGTGTTCCGTTTGGGGCAGAAGAGGATGGACTAGTTTCTGATCGTGGCTCCTTCCTCTAAGTAGACAACGTGTGGGCACTTGAGCTCAGTGTGGAAATGTGGCCTTCGGTGTGCATGCAGTATCGTTCTGTTGTTTTTGTTGTTGTTTGACTCGGAATCTCACTCTGTCGCCCAGGCTGGAGTGCAGTTGAATGACCATGTCATCGCAACCTCGACCTGCTGGGCTCAGGTGATCCTTCTGTCTCGGCCTCCCATGTAGCTGAAATCACAGGCATGTGCCACCACCCCTGTCTAATTTTTTGATTTGTTGTAGAGACAAGGTCTCGCTATGTTGCCCAGGCTGGTCTCGAACCCCTGGGCTCAGGCACTCCTCTTGCCGCCGCCTCCCAAAGTGCTGGAATTGCAGGTGTGAGCCACCATGCCTGGTTTGATTTGATGCTTTATTTTGTTTTGACTTGGAGTCTTACTTTGTTGTGAGACTGGAGTGCAGAGCAGGTGAGTGCCAGGTCCCTCTGTGGCACCAACCTCCTGGGCTCAGGCCATCCTTTCACCACACTTCCTGCATATCTGGGACTACAGGTGTGCACCGCCACAGCAGGTTAATTTATTTTTTATTTTTATTTTTGTAGAGACGAGGTCTCACTATGTTGTTCAGGTTGGTTTCAAACTCCTAGTCCCAAACGATTCTCCTGCCTCGGCCCCCTCACTGTGCTGGGATTACAGATATAAGCCACCATGCCCAGTGGGAGTATCATTTTTGATTCATTTTTTATTCACATCTCATGCTGGGAAAATGCTGCTTCCTGAGGTATCTGTAAGGAAAAGGTACCAAGTCTTTGAGGGTCATGTCGTCATTCCTACAGCAGCCAACAGGTAATCCATGGGGTTTGAAAATCTTTTTAGGACTAAAATAAGTAGATCAATACTTGTTTGATAAGGATTCCAGAGGCAATACTTATGGAATTACAATACTATAGTAATATAATACAGTATAACAAAATATATAATGTAGTAACATAATTTAGTAATTCCAACACATACGGAAGGATGAGAGAGATGCCACTGCCTTTTATCCTCAATCAAATGAAACTTTATCCTGGAAGCAAGTGTTAGCACCAGGAGTTGTGAAATCCGCATACTAAGCAGGGGTTGCTGTTGGCACCCCTAGAATGCAGCCATCTGCTTAATTTCTTGTGAATTTCTTTTTTTAAATTTATTTTTATTTTTGAGTTGGAGTCCTGTTGCCCAGGCTGGAGCGCAGTGGCACACTCACAGCCACCCCAGTATTGACCTACTGGGCCCCAGCAATCATTCCAGCTCAGCCTTCCAAGTAGCCAGAACTACAGGTGCACATTACCATGTCTGACTAATTTTTTGATTTATTGTGGAGACAAGGTCTCGCCAAGTTGCCCGGGCTGGTCTCGATCCCGCGGGCTCAGGCAATCCCCTCGCCTCGGCCTCCCAAAGTGCTGGGATTACAGGCTGAGCCACCGAGCCTGGCCTGAGTTTCTTTTTCTAATTTCTGTTCTCATTCCCAGAGATGCTTTCAACTGGTTTTCCTTTTTTGCTCTCTTGTGATCTGCAGGATAATGCCATCACGCAGGATCACAGGTGGGGTACCCTGGGAGAAGCAGAGCCCCATGCAGGCAAAGGTGCTGTGTTGCTATCGGTGGCATGCTCCGAGCACCCGGGGCTCATCTGGTGAAGGTGTGACTCTGTGGCCTCCTCCCATGGGAGCTCCTTGGGAGGACCTTGGCCACTTTATGTACTTATTTTTTATTTTGTTGTTTTGAATCAGTCTCACTCTGTCACCCAGGCTGGACTACAGGGACATGCTCACAGCTCACTGCTGCCTCGACTTCCTGAGCTTAGACCATCCTTCTGCCTCAGCTTCCTGATTAGCTGAGACTACAGAGTCACTCCACCATGCCCAGCTAATGTGTTGGTTCTTTGCAGAAACAAGGTCTCAAACTCCTGGGCTTAGGGATCCTTCTGCCTCAGTCTCCTGAGTAGCTGAGACCACAGGCTCACACCACCACTCCTAGCTAGCTTTTCTATTTTTTACAGAAACAAGGTCCACCTGTGTTGCCCAGGCTGGTCTCGAGCTCCTGGGCTCAAGCAATCCTCTCGCCTCGGTCTCCCAAAGTGCTGGGATCCCAGGCGTGAGCCACCGTGCCCAGCCTTGGTCACTTTAATCCAGCACAGCCTCCACCCAGTGGGAGCTTTGCCTGCTTGGGCTCTCAGTGGGTGGGCGCCAAGGTGAGGAGGCTCCTCTGGGAGCCCGGCTCCTGGGAGGATGATGTTGGAACAGGAACCCTGAAATGAGCTGCAGATACCATTACCTGCTTGTAATTCTACTCACAATGTCCACGCTCCTGGTTATTGACAAGGCTGTTAAACAAGTATCTGGTTAAGCCCAGGTGCGGTGCTCATGCCTGTAATCCCAGCGCCTTGGGAGGCTGACGCAGGAGATTGCTTGAGCCCAGGGGTTTGACACCAGCCTGGGCAACATGGTGAGACCTCGCCTCTACAACAAAATTTTTAAAAACCTAGCCAGGTAGGATGGTGTGCACCTGTAGTCCCAGCTACTTGGGAGGCTGAGGCAGAAGGATCGCCTGAGCCCAGGAGGCTGAAGCATGATCATGCCACTGCACTCCAACTTGGGCAACACAATGAGATCCCAGCTCAAAAAAAAAAAAAAAAGCAGACACTTATCTTCTGTTAGTTCTGGAGACTGGAAGTCTGAAATCACAGTGTGTGCAGGGCTGTGGTCTCTTCCAGCCTCTAGGGGAGTGTCCTCCCTTGCCTCTTCCAGCTCCTGGCGTCCCAAGACGTAAGTAGCTTCTGGCAACCTGGCTCCAGCCTCTGCCTCCGCCTTCACATGGCCTCGTCTGCCTCTGCTCTCCCTGCTCTTGAGGAGGCGCCAGTCATACTGGACCAAGGCCCAGCCTACTCCTGATGACTCCATCCTCAGACCCCATTTCCAACCAAGGTCGCATCTGGCATACCAGGAGTCAGAACTTAACTATGTCTTTTGTGGAAGGTTCATGACTTCCCTCGCAGCAAGGATGTCTTCTCATGTGAGAGGAAGCAGTTCAGGGCATTTTAGTGCTGTGAAAAGCCCCCTGTGCTCTGTGCTTGTTCATTCTCTGTGGACCAGCAAGCATCCCCCTGCAAGGCTTGAAACCTTAACGTTGGTTATTTCATGGCATGTGCCCGCTGACCTGCGTTGGTCTCCTGTGTTTACTTGTTTTTTTGTTTTTTGGTTCTTTTGAATTGGAGTCTCACTTTGTCACCCAGACTGAAGTGCTTGGCAGGACTACTGCTCACTGCAGTCTTGAACTCCTGGGTCTAAGAGATCCTTCTGCCTCAGCCTCCCAAGTAGCTGGGACTACAGGCTTGCACCACACATCTAGCTAGTTTTGTTTATCTTTTTGTAGAAACAGGGTCTCCCTATGCTGCCCAGACTGGTCTCAAACTCCTGGGCTCAAGCAGTCCTTCTACCTCAGGCTCCCAAAGTGCTGGGATTATAAATATGAGTCACTTGGCTGGGCGTGGTGACTCAGCCTGTAATCCCAGCACTTTGGGAGGCCGAGGTGAGAGGACTGCCTGAATCCAGGGGTTCAAGACCAGCCTGGGCAACTTGGTGAGACTTCGTTTCTACAATAAATCACAAAAACTTGCTGGGCATGGTGGCATGCGTCTGTAGTTCCAGATATTTAGAAGGCTGATGCGGAAGGATGGCCTAAGCCCAGCAGGTCAAGGCTGCAGTGGCCGTGAGCATGCCACTGCACTCCAGCCTGGGTGACAAGAGTGAGACTCCAATTCAACCCCCCCAAAAAACCAAGTGTGAGCCACCACACCTGGCCTGTGCTTGCCTATTAGGATTCAGAGGCCGGGATCTTCCCCACATCGCCTGGATCTCCCACCTTGGGGCAGCCTGGTGAGGACGTAGAGATATGAATACCTGCCCCTCAGCCTCCTGGAGTGTAGCCCTGATGCTATTTTAAAAATTGCCACCACTTCCCTTCCTTCTCCAGGCTGAAAGGAGGATTTCTTGGTGCCCATAAGCCTTTGCAGTCCTCCTAGTGTGTATTTCTATCCTGTTTCCTCCTCTGGGCTCCTGGCCAGATGGCTGCTGTCTGGGAAGTCCCCACCCGACCCTGTTCCCTGGAGAAGCTGGCGTTAACAGGCAGCCGGACATCACCACCTGCCGTCCGCCCAGGGACTCAGGCAGCCTCGGACGCCAGCCCCGCTCCCCGACCTAGAGTGTGACTTCATCCATGGTGGCTTCATTTCCATGAGACAGAGCGGGGCATGGGGTTGTGACCTTGCACCTGGCACAGTGCTTGGATGTGCTGTGCACTTCGGGTTGCCCTGATGAGCCATGAGGGGAGGAGGAGGAGGAGCCGGATGGCTCTGCCATCAGAGGCCCTGACAGCCTGACCACCGTGGTACCAGGGAGAAGGGGACCCCTGGAGAAGGGAGGTGGCGCTTCCCAGAGTCCAGGTTTGTCCCATGGGCCCTTCCACAGAGTCTGCTGGGTGCTGGGCTCTGCTCCTGAGTGAGTGAGGGACACAAGGGATGCAGCAGGAATGAGACAGGCAAGGCCAGCTCTTCCGGGAGGTGCTGCCCACAAGGTGCAGGTTGCGAGCTGCTTGTCTTCTCCCAGAAGAGAGATGGCAGCACAGGGGAGCCAGGGCAGGCAGGGGTGTGTACTGGGGACCAGCCCAGGCACAAGGGGGACATGGAGTGCAGGGAGGGCAGTGAAGGCCCATGCTTCCTGTGGATGGCCTTCAGCCATGTGGGACCAGGGCGTGGGCCTGACAGGGGTGTCAGCGCTCCCCAAAGCCAGTGACACAGGTGCGACATCCCCTTTTCCAAAACTTTATGGAGGCAGGAGGAGCAGAGATGGCTGACGGGAAGCGACTGTCCCCAAAAGAACAAGAAACTCATGCTGCTTCACACGTACAGGAGTACCACCTACTCTCTGTCGCTGATTCCATCGACAGGTGGGGTGAGCACATACACGTAGCACTGTGCCCCGCCGCTTCACATCTGGGGGAGGACAGGCTTTGCATCTGAGTTGCCTCAACCCAGAGTGCAGGCAGCAGGGATGAGGGAAGGAGGGACATGCCCCAAAGGCAGGCTGGGCCCTTGCGGTGCTGCCTGCAGATGGGGCTGGTCAGGGCCCCTGCTGAGGACGGAGACCCTTCAGACCTGGCTGGCTCACCATTTGGGGGTGGAGGCCCGAGCCAGGGCACACAGGCGGCTGGATGGCCTGATGGCCTGTGCTGCATCATCTGGCAGACAGATGATGGGAATGACCAGGCTGGCTCCCTGTGGTGGGGACTCCTGTAGACAGAGGGTCTGCATGGGAATTAACTCTCGGGGACCGGAAAGGGGATGGTCTGTGCACCCTCACTTTTGCCTTGGTCTCCAATCTTTCCTATGAGGAATAAACAGCAACCTTCCTCCTCCAAGGCAGGCTGAGTGTGTGTGTGTTGTGAGTGTGTATGCTTGTGTACGCATGTGTGTTGTGTGTGTTGCCTGCATTTGTGTGTTGTGCATGTGTTTTATGTATGTGTTGTGTGCCCTGTTGCATTTGTGTGGCATGTGTGCGTTGTGTTTGTCTTGTGTGCACCGTGTAGTTGCATAGTGTATGTGTGTGTAGTGTGTGCATTTGTGTGTTGTACACACATATGCAAGTGTTGTGTGTGTACATGTGTGGATAGCATCTCAGGCTCTGTGGGTGGAAGCCTGGAGTCCTCTCGGCTCTGCTGAGTCACCCTGGTGGGCTTGCTTTGTGGCAGTGACTCACCGTGCAGAAACACAAGACCAGAAAGTCCCCTCAGGCTATCAAAAAAAAGAAGGATACAGGACATATATTGGGCGATTGAAAAAAGACCCCTAACTGATCCAGGGAGGTGAGGATGGCAGTGCGTGTCCACCCAAGAATGCAGGTTTGGAAAGAATTGGTCTGCAAACACTATAGCTGGAAGTCAAAGTCCAGCACAAAACCTTGCAAATGTGTGTGCACAGCCTTCCTGCCTCATTCCTTTCTTTTTATGGTCGTTTGGTTTCTGCTCCCAACACTCTGTGGAAGCGCTGCTCAGGGTGGCCCTCAGGCCACCCCATCCAGCATTCTACCCTGGCCTAGCCACTGCACAGCATGAGGCCTCCTGTTTTCCTTCTGAGGCCCGGCTGCTCCTCCCGGCTGCTCTTCTGGCCTCCCTCCCACCATGTGTGTGTCCCTTCTTGAACACCCCTTCGTCCCAAGACCCAAGCCTCTCTTCCTCCAGGGTGGCCTCCTCTGTACTCCCAGGGGCAGTGTGTTCCCGCAGGAAGAGAACACAGCTCATTTTTTTGAGTGTCCTCTGCTTGCAGGATCCTGCTTCCCCACTCTCCCCTTACGGCATGTCTCCTGTCTGTGCACCAGGTGACATAAGCTCCATTTAGAGAGGAAACAGGCTGAAGGTAGGGAAGTGACACACCCAGGGCCATCTTTCTGGGCAGATGAGAGTTTGCAAAGCAACAGTTGGACCCGGAATGGGGTTAGTTCAGAGCCCACGATCCTGCATGCTTTGACTTTGTCCTGCCTTCCCCCTCCCAGGGACCCTCAATGTCCTCTGTTAAAACGGCATCTGTGGGGCGACACCTCACACCCTCCCCTAGTGTTGAAGCTGTATTCACGGGCCCAGGATGGCAATGCACCACTGGTGTTTGATGATCAGTCTGTGCCCGTCACCCTGGGAACTAACAAGGCGGCCCAGATGACTGGATGGGGCACAAACTAGCATGTTTTTGTGCCGGAGAAGGAGTGTCTCCACTTTGGAGTGTCCCTTTTTGCCCCAGTGGGGCATGTGGGCGGTGTGGGGAGGTGACATCTGAAGTACTGGCTTCCTATCGGTGTTTTTGGAAGCTGGTTCCCTGAGAGTTCAGCGCAGGAGGTCCTTGGTTTAATGTTGGAAGCAGTGCTACCCACATGTGGTCATCAAAGTAAAGGGTAATATTCCCTAGCTTAAGTCAGATCCTGGGCACTGAGAGGAACTCTCTTCATAGACGAATGTTGGGCGAGTTAGGTTCTTTCTAGGGTGTCTGGGCCAGGGCAGGTCATACCTGCCGGTCAGTTATACATACTTAATCTCACGTAACCAACTATACCTGCAGTTGTTTTAAACAACCTGGAATTTTGTTCTGGTTTTGTTTGTAGAATAATAGAGGGTCATGCCTGTAATTCTAGCACTTTGGGAGGCCAAGACGGGAGAATTGCTTGAACCCAGGAATTTGAGACCAACTTGGGCAGCATAGTGAAATCTTGTCTCTACAAACAAGAAAAATTAATAATAATAATAATAATAATTAGCCAGGCATGGTAGCATGTACCTGTAGTCCCAGTTATTCAGCTGGTAGAAGCTGTGGTAGAAGGATCACCTGAACCCAGGAGGTCGAGGCTGCTGTGAGCTGTGATCATTGTGATCATGCCACTGCACTCTAGCCTGGGCGACAGAGTGAGACCCGACTCAAAAAATAAGAATAAGAATAATAATAATGGAAGGTAGGCCAGACGCAGTGGCTCAAGCCTGTAATCCTAGCACTTAGGGAGGCCAAGGTGAGAGGATTGCCTGAACCCGTGGGTTCGAAAACAGACTGGGCAACTTGGCGAGACCTCATCTCTACAATAATTCAAAAAATTAGCCAGGCATGGTAGTGTGTGCCTGTAGTTCCAGCTACTTGGAAGGCTGAGGGGGAAGGATTGCCTGAGCCCAGCAGGTCGACACTGGGGTGGCCATGAACGTGCCACTGCACTGTAGCCTGGGCAATGGAGTAAGACTCCAACTCAAAAAATAATAATAACAACAGAAGGTCACAACTTTGCAGGTACTCATTACCTGGAAACAGGCAGCAGATTCATAACCCAGTACTCCTTCATTAGGAGACTAAAAGATTGCATTCCAGCTCAACAGTGGAGGTGCCAGGTTGACATCCTTCCCGAGGTCCGGGGGAACTGCAGGTCTAACCATCAGGTCCTCTGCCACAGAATGGCTAATGCGTGTGTGATCTGAGTGTGATCTCGCCTGCATGGAAAGCTACCCTGTAAGGGAGCAGCCTGCTAGGACATGGAAGGACCTTGGCGGCGCCCGGGCGGCCCTGCCAGGCCAGGCTAGAGTTGCGCAGATAACGGCCGAGCATCTGATAACTGCCGCCACCTGCCCTCTGCTGCGCAGGACTGTTCTTTCAGTCCTCTGAGACTCCCTTGCACCCTGGCATCATTGGAGGCCTGCAGGCACACACTGAAACAGCCGTGCCTGTGGGTGGGAGAGATCTGCTTTTTAAAGTGTAAGTATCATTGGTTTCTCTGCAGGTGCTGTCGCACTGGAAGCGCAGGGAGACTATGCGGTGTGTGTTGACAGAGTGACCTGTTTAAGGACACAGAGGGGCAGGGCCGGGGCCAAGTGCAAGTTTAAGTGGAGTCTTGACTTGTGTTGTCGAGTACAGGCCTGACATGGGCAGTCGGCTAGGTCTTTGGGCTGGGGCCGACTCATTTTATTTCATCCGGTCCTTCCCCAGTAGCTCTCTGCTGCTTAGCTATTTGACAAGGTAAAAATAGCAAGCTCTAAGGAAGGTTAAATCCCAGAGCATGCTGGCTTTTGTTCCTAACGGCAGGGGACAAGTGTTGCTGGACTTTTCAGGGAGGTGGCAGAGTTGTGCCCTAGGTGTGTGAATTCTCAAAGACCCTGGGGAGGCGCCCCCAGCAGACCCCTCCTTGGAGGCTGGGGAGCAGCGCCAGCCATGCTGGGTGGAGGGGCAGAGGGCACTGAAGTCCACTGTCTGCCCTTCATTCTGGCTGGTGTCGGGTCACAGGCGGCCGGATCCCGTTACCTAGTCCAGGACATTCGGTTTCATTGAAGAATACCGCTCCCCTTCTGTTTCCTTGTGCCACAGACGATTTACATGGATGATGGAGTGTCGTCTTTTGTCCAGATCAGAGGCTCAGTTCCACTGTTTTGGGAGCAGCCAGGCCTTCAGGTAGGTAATAAAAGAATATGTATTATAGATAGATAGATAGATAGATAGATAGATAGATAGATAGATAGATAGATAGATAGATAGTCTCCCCACTGTAAGAGTGTTTGTCCAGCCCTTCCCTCAACAGCTGGGGTTTGTTTTAACATGTTTCCATCATGGCATAGTTTCTGGTCTTTTTCCTCAGCTCAGCTGTGTCGAGCTGAGCTGTCAGAGTGCACACGTATGCATATGTGTGTATAGCAGAGCTCATACAGCCTTTCACGTCTTGATGGGCACACGTGTGGTGGACTCACTGTTAACTCGGGAGCAGGCTGCCGTGTCCGCTGGGTGAATGAGCCACCTGCGTGTATGGGCAGAATCCCTTTAAGTGAAACCCCAAGTTCGGGGCATCAAGGACGTTTCTGAGAGCAGCAGCTCTCATGGGGGCCTCTGGGAAGGTCTCCGAACCCTCCATGGTCGCCCAGGTCTGGCACCCAGTGGTGCCTGCTGTGGTGACACGTGAGAATAGCACAGCTTTCCCATGATTTCTAAAAATACCCCTTTCCAGCCAGAGCAGGGCTCTTCAGTGCCAGGGGGATCTGGCATTCTGTTTCCTGGGAAGAGCTCAGAGCGGGGACACGTTCCAAGAACACATTTGTCGTCCGTGAAATGATGCCACACTACTCCCTTCCGTGGGGTCTCTGACAAGGTGGGTTACAGGCTACAGAGTGGGCCGCAGAGTCCTCCACGCTAACCCCAGCTTTCCTGCCCTGTCCTGAGGGAATAGGGTGCGTTCAGAAAACCTTGTTACCTTCGGCTCTTCTTACTGAGGGCTCTCGTGTGACTGCGGTCGGGTTGTCAGCCAGCAGCTGAAGGGGCCTAGGTGCCACCTGCCAGTTTCTGTAGGGCATTTGACATCGCTGGGCACTGGGTCCCTTGTCTTGGACTCAGCTTCTTAGTCCAACCCTAAACTTGAACCAGTGCCAGTGGTGAGCGAGTCGCTTGTCCCCATGGCTGTTGGCATGCTGCGTGAACAGCACTGGTAATGGACCAGGTCAGCTCGTGGAGTGGGATGGATGAATTAAGTGTCTGGTTTGGGCTCTGAGCTCTGGTGGAAAAAGAGCCTTGCTTGTTTATTTGTTTTAGTGGCAGAGTCTTCTCCTGTCACCCAGGCTGGAGTGCAGTGGCACAGTCATGGCTAACCTCAAAGTCCTGGGCTCAAGCGATCCTTCCACCTCAGCCTCCCAAGCAGCCCAGATTATAGGTGCACACCAGTGGGCTAATTTTTAAAATGTGTTGTAGAGATGAGGGTCTCATTTTGTTGCCCAGGCTGGTCTTGGACTCCTTGCTTCAAGCAATCCTCCTGCCTTGACCGCCCAAAGTAAAAAAAAAGGCTTTATCAACATTCAGTCTTTCCTCTAGAAAGGAACCACCAAACTACATGAGGTGGATGGTGGCATCTGGAGAAGCACTCCTGAGGACGACTGTGACCCAGAAATGTCCCCCTTTGGGAATGGGGCCCCAAGGATGTTGTTTGGAAAAGCAGCTATATTGAGCTATAACTTACATACCCGGAGTGTCACCCATTGACAGCACACAGGGCAAGAGTTTTGAGTGCGTTTTAGCGTTGTGTCCCCTTCCCCATAATCTAACTTTAGAAGCCTTTCCTCACTGCTGGAAAACCCTGTCCCCAATCGCTTTCTCTGCCCTTCCCTTCAGACTCTCCCTTGGGCCTACGTGACTGTTAATCCACGTTCTTTCTCTATGGATTTCCCATTCTGTACATTCCAAAAGAGCGTTTGAAACTTGATTGTCTTTAAATTGGGAGTTTTCCTTCAGAAACTTCTTGAGCTCTGTAGTTAGGAGGATAAAAAAGTTTATCAAACGAGTAAGCACAAAAAAGAAACAGGGTGAACATGTTATGTTTTACTTAAAGTTTGTAAGAAATCGAAAAACTGGGGACACGGTCATGATAGATTCTTGGAATTTGGGGAGGACTCTTTGAATTTCATCCGTTCCACCCTTCCACTCACTCCAGGGCTCCTTCTTCCAGGACCACTGAGGGGCTATCTCCCAGGCCACGACTGGGTCGGCTCTGACTGTTAGCGTGTTCCTCCTGTATTGTGCGCAGTGTTTGACTTTCCAGAGTGCTCTGGGAGCCACAAGGGTCAGTCTTATTCTTCCCCCACGTGACTGACCTCCGGCCCCGGGAGGAGGACTCACCCGGGGCCCCTTCTTCCTTGCCTTCTCCAAGGCCTTCCACCTCCCTGGCCATCGCCTGCCCTATTTCTAGAACTCTCAATGTTCTCGTCTCTCTCATTTAAACAACAAAATGCGTCTGTAAGTCCCCTCTCGAATTTAATGTTGGTCTCCAGTTTGACCTTCACTCCAGCCTGGCCTGCTGGGGAATGCCGCACGACCCAGTGGGGACCAGGAATGGTGGGCCTAGGGGCTCAGCTCCCAGGCAGCTGAATCACCCACTTAGATCCCTGACACTTGTGCTTCCCCAGGGCCCCCACAGTTTCTTTAAACAGGTTTCAAAAGGCTTTAGTGTTCGTTAATCTTATTAGGGATTTGCTGACCTTTGGGCCTAATACCTGTGCTTATCCCCTAAATACCACCGTCATCAAAGGGAGATTAGGTTGTCTTCAGAGGGGACCCGGAGGGCAGCCTTAGGGGGTGGTCTACAGTCACGGTCTGAGCTGTTAGGATCAAGTTCTGGTTGGTTTTTTTTTTCCATTTTGAAGTTTTTCCTTTCCTTCTGCACTCAGGCTAGATGAAGAGTGCAAGATTTTCGGCTGAGCAGCTTGCATATTCACCTGCAGTGTTGTTCCTTCTTGGGGGCTGCCTGGGGTAGGGCGGGCAGAGGGGACCGTGGGAGGAGGATTTGTCTGCATGTGTTCATGGGAATAATGCCTTCACGACATCCTGAGTCCATTTCTGGCAACCATGAACCTTTCACAATTTCATTTTTACCATGTAAATAGGTTGTGCAGTGTATAAATAGCCACCTTGAAATTTTACTCTTAAAACGAACCACCCCCCGGTGTAGCCAGGTATAGGGTCTGTTTATTAACACATGTTGCAGGTTAATGACCTGATTCCCCTTGACATGTGTAAACAGACACGTGTCTCCCCAAGGTGAGCTCAGTCTGTTTTGAAGTTTTGTTTGAACCAACTGGAGGAGGATACAGAGTCCATCAGGCCCCTCTTCCCTGTCAAAAACCCTTTGCCAAGTTCTTGGTTGTGTGATGCATGGCACTGGATGGCCACGTATGTGTGGGGTACCTTTCTTTGTTCCCAAAAGAACGTGAGACGGCGTGTAGCATAGCAATTGCAAAAATAAGAGAAGAGGATAGGGTGAGGGAAAAATGAACTGTGAAAATGAGCCAAAGCCAGGACAGAACTGGCTCCTGCAGTGCGTGCTGTGGGTCTCTTGTACGTGCGTGGAGTGTCACATTTGTCCTGAGCTTCCCAGCAGCCACTGCAGAAAGAACCTCAGTCACAAGGCCGTTTCCTGTAGTGATTCAGAGCAGAAGGTCTCAGGCTATGCAGAGCTGTGTTCACATCAAACTCTGGCTCCCCCACGTGGGGACTGTACACTTCTGAGACGTTCTTCTGTTTGCCAAAGCCTTGGTTTATTCTTCTGTACAATGGGGTTAACAATCCTACCTCATAGGGTCCTGGAGGATTAAAGATCATAATATAAATATTAGCACAGTATTTGGAACCTAAAACCTACTCAAAGATGGCGACTAACGTTGACAATCATAGAAATAAATGATAACGCCTCGGAGACAGAAACACCAGCTGCCTCTGGAGAAGCTTGGCCCTTTGCATCCTGAGCTCTAGGTGAGTTTCCCTCCTAGTCATCATGGGGACACTGTGAGATGTGACACAAAGATGGCTTCCTAGAGCATTTCATCTGCCTTCCTGTACAGACTGATGGGAGATCACCCACCCCGGATTCAGCCATGTGTTCGTCCCACAGACATTGGCTGAGCGTCTGTGAACACACAGGTGCCTGGCCCCACCCCCAGAGTTGGTTCAGCAGATCTGGGGTGGGCCCAAGACTTGGCTTTCTAATGAGCACCCTGGGGGTATCCAAGGACCACACTTTGAGAGCCATGGGTCTGGACTTACACATCCTTTCTGCCCTGGCCATTTCTCTGGGGGTGGGGTGGTCAAATTAATTTTCACTTGTTGTGCAGACTTGTTAGACACTCTGAAGTAACCGGGCATGGTGGCTTGTGCCTGTAATCCCAGCACTTTGGGAGGCCAAAGTGGGAGGAGTGCTTGAGCCCAGGAGTTCAAGACTAGCCTGGGCAACATAGTGAAACCTCGGCTCTACTAAAAATAAAAATTAGCCGGGCAGGGTGGCATGCCTTTGTAGTCCTAGCTACTGAGAGGCTAAGGCAGAAGAGTCACCTTAGCCCAGGAGGTCGAGGCTGCAGTGAGCCATGATCACGCCACAGAACTCCAGCCTGGGCAACAGAGTGAGACCCTGATTAAAAAAGAAAGAGGGGTCTTTCCATGGTGAATGTGGGTGGGTGCTGGTCACCCAGGACAGGGGATTTGGTATCTCCCATCTCCTTCCCTGACTCAGGGTGTGCTCAGTAACTGAAGGGTAGACTGATGACACAGTGTGTGGAGGACTTAGGTAATGTTTACATTGGGGGAGTTACAGAACCTGGGGCTGGACCCTGCCAAGTCCAGGTATTAGAGACTGCCATGTCCACCTGCTTCCAAGAAGAGGCTTTGGGTTCTGACTCAGGGAGGTGGTTAGACATGTCCAATAATATAACTCGTCACTCCTGAGAACCCAGCTCCTGAGCCCTGGTCTACTGCCCCTATGTTCTCTTACTGTGCCCCCATGGGAATGATTCCCCTGTCCGTGACATGGGGGAGGGGGGGTTCTTGTGGTGACTGATAGATGACACAGAGCGGGCAGCCCCTTCTCTTGGGTTTTCAGCCCTTGGTGACCTCTCCACCAGTGGCTGAGGGGGACTTGGACCTGCTGACTCGCTTCAGAGTGCAGGAGGGAGCAGTCCTCTTAGTAGTGCAGGGGCCACAGATGACATTTCCTCAGCCAGGAATCGATGACTCTGGGGGAAAGGAGGGCAGAAAAACATAAGCCACGAGATGAAGACATTTTGGGGAGCCTATCTTAAGAATACCTGTCAACCAACAGCCGAGAAAACTCATTGTAGACTCATCTCTCTCATGACCAAAGTGTCCTAGGGCCACAAGGGATTTGGAATTTTGTTGAATCATTTATACAGAAAATCCTTTTCCTAGTAATTTCTAAGCCTATAACTGAGAAACCAGTTTTCTAGATGGGTGTTTCCCTCGTGTGAGGCAGGACCGATGTGTTATCTGTGGTGTTATGAGTTGTAAGATAATATATGATACATAATAATAGCTACATCTGATAATATGGATGAATCGAATGACACCACTTTTGCAATGCTCAAACACAAGCAAAGCTAAACAGTACTTTTGTTGTTATTGTTTGAGCCCCATATCACTCTGTTGTCCAGGCTGGAGTGAGTGCAGTGGCATAATCACGGAGGATCATGGCTACCACAGCTTCTACCTGCTGGGCTCAGATGATCCTTCACCTTAGACTTCCAAGTAGTTGGGACTGTAAGCATACACCACCAGCTATTTTTAAAAATTTATTGTAGAGACAAAGTCTTGCTATGTTACCCAAGCTGGTCTTGAACCTGTGGACTCAGATAATTCTCTCACCTCAGCCTCCCAAGGTGTGAGCTACTGCACCTGGTTTTTTATTTTTATTTATTTTTTAGTTGGAGTCTCACTCTGTTGCCCGGGCTGGAGTGCAGTGGCACACTCACAGTCACTGCATCCTCGACCTGCTGAGCTCAGGCGATCCTTCCGCCTCAGCCTTCCAAGTAGCTGGAACTACAGGCGCGCGTGATACCACACTCAGCTTATATTTTGATTTATTGTAGAGACGAGGTCTCACCAAGTTGCCCAAACTGGTCTCAAACTCCTAAGCTCAGGTAGTCTTCTCGCCTCGGCCTGCTAAAGTGCTGGGATTACAGGCTTGACCACCACGCCTGGCCTACACCCAATTTTCAACAATACATTTTTAAAAAACTTTTTATTGAAATAATTTCAGATCCACAGAAAAGAGAGCTCCCATATGTCCTTCACCCAGATATGCTAAGCTGTAACCTTCTGTCACACATGCATTATTTTAGGAGCTACTTAATAATAGGTAGCACACAGCTTGTCTCTTTAATGAAGGATGGAATCATACTCTCTTATGTCGCCACAGTACAGGTGCACGTTCAGGGATTTAACATTGACCCAACACTTCAGTCTGATCTTTATTCCATCTTCCACATTGGTCAATTGCCTCAACAATGTCCTTTGTAGCATCTTCTCCCACTTCCGTCCTGCATTTAGTCATCATATCTCAGTCTTCTTTAATCTGATCTGTTCCTTGGCCTTTCTGTCTTTCATGATACTGACATTTTGGAGAATGAAGACCTTCTTTGTCTTTAAGTTGAAGGTTCTTTTGGATTTTCCTGGTGTTTCGTTATGATCAGATTCAAGGTCTGGATTCCTAGCCAGATGCTACCTAAGTGACACTAATAAGCAATCTATTGGAGGCACTTTGAGCCCATACTAGTGTCCTGCTCCTCATCAAACTTTCCCTTAAGATTCATCATCAATGGATAACTTTTGCTGGATAATTCTTTACTGTGGGCCTTGCAACATGATGATTTTCCGCTGTTCCCTCCACATTTATCAGTTGGTTTACCACTATAAGGAAGAGTCCTCTCTTCTTCTGCATTTACCCACCCATACACCTACCCATCTACTCCTTCATCCACTCATCCAGCCATCATCCATCCATCCATCATCCATCCATCCATGCACCCATGCACCCACTCATCCATCCAGTCATCTATTGATCATCCATCCACACCTTAATCCAGTCATCCATCCGCTCACCTATCTATCTGTCCACCCACTCAGCCAGTCATCCCTTCAACCGGTCATCCATCCATTTATCTATCTATCCTTTCATCCATCTACCCATTCAGTCATCCATCCATCCTTCAGATATCCATCATCCAATTATCATCAATATACATTCTCAGAGTCATATTTTATTCACCAGATTATAATCCATTACTGCCCTTATATAGTTTGATGCTCAAGTTGTCCAAGATTTGGCACTGAAAGCCTCTTGAAGCTGGCTTCAGTGACAATGTATATTTTAACTTTGTTTTTTAAACTAAGTTGAGTATTAAAGAAGTAGTTCTCCAATTAGATAATTAGGATAACTCAGATTTAGAAGGAAGTTGTGGTCCCTGCAGGGGTTAATGAGGGAAAGCAGGGTCTCTCCCCTAGCTGGCTGAGCTCTGAGCTGCTGGAGAATTTGGGGGTCTGACACCCGCCTCGTGTGTGTGGAAGAATTTCAGCTGACATGGTACGTGTTGTGGCTAGGACAGGGCAGCTGCAAAGCCAGACTCCAGGCTCCTGGGCCTGAGTTCAGAGCACTGTCAGCCGAGTCCAGGGAGCCCGACCTTCCAGAGCTGTGAAGGGGCCATGAGGTGGGTGAGTGGCTGCCACGAGCAGCAGTGAACAAGACTGTTGCTTCCTGAGTTTGCAGGACAGGAAGAATCACTATTGCTGCTTCTCGTTGCTCCAGGTTGGCTCCCATCATCTAAGACTCCACAGAGGCCTGGAAGCCAACGCCCCTGCCTTCGACAGGTAGGGATTGTGCTACTCCAACCAAAACTTGTTGCTACCCTTAAGAGTTTTCCTCTGATAGACAGTGGCACAGGGGACAGGGTGTGGCAGCGGGGGTGGGGGGCAGACCTGAATCCAAATCTGCCTTTTCCTTTATGTTAAGAGGAAATTTACAAACTGGGAGTGTTCCTTGTTTTAGGTTTCCTGAAGTTTAATTAACCAATGGTCAGGTAGGCTTTGTGATTATTGTATCAGTTTCTTCTTGCAATGAAGCTTCATCCATTTGCCTGGCTAATAAAGGATCATCTAAATTATAGGATATTTATAGCTGTTTGTTTTTGGTTTTGTTTTTGTTTTGTTTTTGAGTTGGAGTCTCACTCTGTCGCCCAGACTGGAGTGCAGTGGCACACTCCTGGCCATCACAGCCTTAACCTGCTGGGCTCCGGCGATCCTTCCACCTCAGCTTTCCAAGTAACCGCAACTATAGGCGTGCGCTACCATGCCCGGCTAACTTTTTGATTTATTGTAGAGACAAGGTCTCGCCAAGTTGCCCGGGTGGGTCTCGAGCCCGCGGGCTCAGGCAGTCCACTCGCCTCAGCCTCCCAAAGTGCTGGGATTAGAGGCTGAGCCACCGAGCCTCGCCTGTTTTTGTTTTAAAGGTAATATATTCCCAAGCTTAAAAAAAGTGTAGAGGGACAATCCCTTATGGTCCCCTCCCACTGTGGGAGGTTTCCTCTCCTCTCAATAAATTCTGCTTTCTTAAAAAAAGAAAAGGTGTAGAAAGGCATAAAGCAAAAAGTAAAAGCATTCTAACTCCCAATCCTCACTCTTAAAGTGTTTTTGACTGTTAGTAGTTTTATACATATCATTTTAGGAAAAAAGTTGCATATATATTTTTTATTTTTTAAAACACAAATTAGATCCTAACACACTCACTGTTTTGCAACTTGAACTAAGCTGAACTGTTTGTACTGTGTACTTGAAACAGTTAATAGCTTCTTCTTAAAAGATTGGCTTTTTCCACTTTTTTGTTTTTTGAGTCGGAGTTTTCCTCTGTCGCCCAGGCTACAGTGGCATACTCACGGCCACCGCAGTGGGCTCAACCTGCTGGGCTCAGGCAATCCTTCCACCTCAGCCTTCCAAGTAACTGGAACTATAGGTGTGTGCTACCACGTACAATCATGCCTGGCTTATTTTCTAATTTATTGTAGAGACGAGGTCTCACCAAGTCACCAAGCTGGTCTCAAACCCCTAGGCTCAGGCAATCCTCTCTCTTTGGCCTCCCAAAGTCCTGGGATGACTGTGCCCAGCTGGCTTTTTCTAATTTTTAAAATTACCTTAACGAATGTCATAAGAATTCGCAAAAGAAGCTTTTATGACCATTCTTCCTGAAGTTCATGGGACTTTAAGTTTGCTTGCTACTCTTTTGTTGACCATAACACTGGTGACACAAGCCCAACTGTGACCCTGATTAGCATGTTGCAAGTCATGGGCTTTTATTGTAAAGAGATACATAATCTTGTGATGAATTGCTGTTGCCTTTTCCAGAACGCCATCAGTGTGTCCTGAGCGCTGTACACTTGGAAATCCTTGGTTGGCATTGATCTATACTAAACTTTCTTAGGAAATAGTAAACATGTAATTTAAATGAAATTCTACCTGAAGCTAACCCAAAGCAAGAGAAAAAAGTTGTGCTGGGCTTGTTTTCAAAATTCCTATGTCTTTATGAGCTTTTTTGTTTGTTTTTTGTTTTGGGGGGGTTTTTTGAGTCACTCTGTCGCCCAGGCTGGAGTACAGTGGCACAAACACAGCTCACCACAACCTCGACCTACTGGGCTCAGGCGATCCTTCCACCTCAGCCTCCCGAGTAGCTGGAACTACAGGCATGCACCACCATGCCTGTCTAATTTTATATTTTTTTGGAGATACAAGGTCTGGCTATGTGGCTCAGGCTGCTCTCTAACTCCTGGGTTCAGGTAATCCTCCCACCTCAGCCTCCCAGAGTGCTGGGATTACAGGCATGAGTCAACTGTACCCAACTTGTTTGAGCTTTAAAAAAAAAATACATATATCATCTAGTTTAAGCACATTTACATAGACTGAGACGTTTCCGGCCCTGGTCATGTGTGGTGTGTGGGATACACGTACCTGAGAGAGCAAGACCTCTCTTCCCACAAGCAACCCAGGGGCTGCCTTGCTCCTTAGAAAGCGTCCCTCAACCAGGCTTGGTGGCTCAGCCTGTAATCCCGCGCCTTTGGGAGACTGAGGTGAGTGGATTGCCTGAGCCCGCGTGTTCGAGACCCGCCTGGGCAACTTGGTGAGCCCTCATCTCTACAATAAATCAAAAAATTAGCGGGGCGTGGTAGTGCACGCCTGTAGTTCCAGCTACTCAGAAGACTGAGGCGGAAGGATCGCCGGAGCCCAGCAGGTCGAGGCTGCGGTGGCTGGGAGCGGCCACTGCACTCCAGTCTGGGCGACAGAGTGAGACTCCAACTCAAAAAAAAAAAAAGAAAGCATCCCTCAAATTTAGGGTAAGCTTAGATCTCTTCGGCAAGTCACGAGATGACTTGCTGACACAACGAGTCTTTTTACAGGCAGCCACTGTTCACGAAGCCTCTTCTGTCACGCTTTTTAGTGGTGACATTTGACCAGATCAAGTGTCCTCACGTTCCCTTGCAGGAGCTACCCATTTTATGTTAATGGCTAGCCGTGTCCCCCTTGCTTGAGAGTAGTGTTCGGAAATGAGGTGACACGTCTGTCTAATGACTATAGTGGGGCACTGTGAGGGTCGCCTGGGAACCGACCCCTGAGGACAGCAAAGTGTCCCTGGACCAGCATATGCGCTATCTCCGGGTGCTCCAAAGTCCTCCTCTCTAAGACACCACTGCGCTCTCAGGGGTCTTCCAGTTCTTGGGTGCATTTGGTCCAACCCCTTCTTTCCCCCCCAGAACACTTCACATGGGCAGTGTTTCTACCCAGAGGATGCCTGCTTCCTTTTGCCACTGCTGCATGGGCACCCTTGTCTGCTGAGGCTGGCCCCTGTCATCCTCTTTGTCGTATGCCCCCGTCTGAGGAGGACCATCAGAGCAGACCTCTGACTGTGCTACTCGAGCAGAGTTTTGTCATCTCAGCATGGTGACAAATCTTGGTGGCGGTGTTAACTTTTCATGAGGGCTGTGTCCACGTCTCCCTTCTCAAGACAAGGAAGGTCTTCTCCTTTGACCTCCCTCAGTACTGGACTCTCGGTGTGCACAACAGGGCATGTTCCACTCTGGGTCCCTCCCTGGAGATGAGAAGGAACTCTGACTCCCTACCATGCTGGCTCCCTACCATCTTGGAAAATGCCACAGTTTTCCAAGTGGCCTCCCAGAACAATAATGGGTAGGCAGAGGGAGGGGAAACAAGTCCTATAGGCACAGAGCGGCCCAGAACACAGAGCAGCTTAGGCTGCGAGTCAGCCTGTGCCATCGCTGGGGATGCTGGGGCCTTCTGGGTCACCTGTGTCAGCAAAGAGAGTCTCACTTTATCAGTGACACATATGTGACCTTATTTTCACATTAAGGGGAAGGAAAAAAGGACCAACTCCCACGTGATGAGCCCCATCGTTGTCACATTCGTTTGTCTTTCTTAGGCCTCATGTCCATTCTCTGCAGAAGGGGGAGCAGCCACAGAGGCTTGTTTACAGATGAAGGAACGAACTCAGATGGGATGAATCATGTGATCAAGGGAGTGTGGCGTTGGTGACAGGACAGAGTAATCATGAGTGATATCGAGGAATCATGGGTAATAGAGAGTAATCATGGGTAGTATTGGTTCTTTTCCAGTCCTGGAACTTGGAACCAGTTGAGAAGTAGACACGAATCAGGCAGAGGGGGCCAGATGTGCTCTTGTTTCTGACAAGCCGCGTTGTGGGGGGTGGCCGGGTGTGTGGCCACAGGGGACTTTCCCACCAGAGCCAGGAACTCCACATGTCAAGGCCCAGGTACCTTCTCTGGGCAAGTCAACCCAAAAGGGACCCCAGACTGGCTGTACCTCATAGAGCCCATTTCTTCCCGCCTGTCCCAGGACTGCCAAGAATATCACTGCAAAATTCCTCCAAGTGGGGACAGGAGCCGGGAGGAGGCTCACCTTTACCTGAGATCAGCTAGTCAGCTAGTCAGCAGATGAACCTATATTTAAACTACTCTCTTCAAATCCATATTCTTTCTGCATACAATGCTATCCCCTAAGGTTAATAAGAGAATTTTTTTTCTCTTATTGAGCTAAAAATGGTTCTTTTGTGATCAACTTTAAAAAACATCTTTTTTTTTTTTTTTTTGAGTCAAAGTCTCTGTTGCCCATGCTGGAGTGCAGTGGCACGCTCACGGCCACCGCAGCCTCAATGTGCTGGGCTCAGGCAATCCTTCTGCCTCTGCCTTCCATGTACAGGCACGTGACACCATGCCCGGCTAATTTTTTAATTTACTGTAGAGACGAGGTCTCACCATGTTGCCCAGGCTGGTCTCGAACCTGTGGACTCAGGCAATCCTTATACCTCCACCTTCCAAAGCACTGGAATTACAGGCGTGAGCCACTGTGCCTAGCGTAAGGTTACTTTTAAAAAGTTGGTGATAAAGGATAAATATTGGAGTCTCTCCCTAATATTTCCACAGACATATTTAGAAAATGACTTCTGATGTAGGAATGTTGTCCTAAAGCCTGTGGGTTCTGTTGTGCTTGCTTGCTGTGGTTCAACATAACGAAATGCAGACCTCAATGAAAAGGTGGGCACTGAGGCTGAGAGCTCTCCTGTCAGCCTCTCTGGTCTCGAAGGACGGATACCAGGTGGGATAAGAGGTTAACATTGGAGACATGCACGTTGCATTTGCAACATTCTATTCATGGAAGGTCAGGTTAGCTGTTCTAGATTTAATGATGGTACCTTCTAGAAGGTTCATGTATCCCTCATCTGATTCCACTCCTTGTGTAAAAGTCCATACTAGCTTGCAGTGATGACGGCCAGGAGGGAAGGGTTTTTTTCCATCCCGGGCTTGTTTTCCACTCCTTGGGCCATGGAGAGTGGCTGGTCCTGTCCCGAGGTGCTGAGACAGCACGGCCCATTCTTTGCCTTCTTCCCTGGAGGGGCAGAACCAGGTGGCCATGTGTGCCCAGCCCGGCGTCACCACCCTCCTTGCTGTCATTGCAGGCACATGGTGCTTCTGAAGGAGCAGTACGGGCAGCAGGTGGTCGTGAACCTGCTAGGAAGCAGAGGCGGAGAAGAGGTGCTCAACAGAGCCTTCAAGGTAAGGCGGGTGCCGCCAGCCCCTCCACCTCTGGGCTTGGCAGGGTGGTGGCTCCTCTGGGGACTAGAGAGAAAACTTGACCCTCTCTGCTCTCCCGAGGGCTCCCCCAGCGCTCCAGTCTATGAACGGGGTAGTGCTGGTGGTCCGAACTCCTGACACAGTGAGTTTAATTAGCTGATGTTGGATGCGTTTGCTCGAAGTCAAAACATAGTGTCTCCGTCCCCAGCCGCATGTCCCCTGTGCTCCCTGTGGACATGGAGGGCTTTCGCTCTCCCCAGGGAGGCCCTCTCTGGGGCAGGCAGCCACCCCTTCCACGTCCACGCTCCTCTTTCCTCCAGGGTCAGCTATTGCTGCAGGGCACTGGGCCTCAGGGTCCAGCTGGAGTTGAGCAACTCCCCCTGCTGACCAGTTGCCTTCAAATCGCCCACTCCTGCTTGGGCTGCCTGTTGGAGCTGCTGGCCCAGCTCCTGCTGGGCTTCCTGGGGGCTAATCCTGGATGATCCTGGATGGGCCAGGGAGCAGCTGTGGCACAGGACTCCGCCTGCCTGGCCCCGGCCTCCTCGTGTCCACAGAACCCAGGCCTCCAGGCCCCCAACCCCACCCCCCATGCACATGTGGCCTGCTGTGTGAGACGGTCTGGAGGAGCCGCGGTGGCTCCTCGTTCCTTTCCCAGCCTTCCATGTCCACCTGCCTAAGGGAGACAAACTCTCTTGTTGTTTGAAGCTCAAGGAAGCCCCTTAAGGAGGGAGCTCGATGACCCCTCCGTGGGGATCAAGGGCGACTCTATGGCCGCCCCTAGGCCCAGCCCCTGACTCCTGGCCAGACAGTCCAACTCTGCTTAGAGAAGCCACATGCTCAGAGCAGGCCCTTCCTGATTGCCAACTGTATTTGGCTAGACTCGCTTTTCCTGTTTGGTGTGTTGCTATTAGCAACAAGCTCCAGAAGTATCTCCCTTCCCACCCATCTTGGCAGCTATGCTGGCTGCTTATTTTAAGGAAGAAGGAAAAAAACATTACAAGCCAAAAAAAAGAACCCCAAATCTCTTTCCCCTTAAGCATTGATTTATGGGGAAAGGATGGCGTGAGCCCTCCCTGTCAGTTGGTGGCAGTTTCTGACCCTCCCTTCAGTTGACGGCAGTGCCCCCCACTAAAGCCAGTGCAGGAGGTGGCAGCTAGCTCCTGGCCGGGGAAGGGCAGACTACCAGGCAGGGAGGAGAGGAAGCAGCTCTCTACCTGGTCATGGCCCTGCCTGGGCTGGTCCTCAGCCACGTCAGCTCTGTGCAGACCTGCTGGACAAAGTGCTTGCTCCAGAATGTGCAGCACGGCCACTGAACACCCTCTTTTACACAGCAAGACTCTTGACGATGGCTGTGCATTGGTTTACATTCTGTTCTGTCTTGCCTTGGGTGGGCACTTTGAGTCATACCAACTGGATGACTTGAAGTCCTCCCAGGCCTTTAAAGTCATTTAACTGGGCAAACTCTGGGCCAGCCTGACCTAAAGCCACCTGGTGTGGGTGTGGGATGCGGGGAGGCCCAGAGGCTGGGTGGTCTGGGCAGGTGGCCAGTTTGTCCTCTGCCATGGGGCTCTCTGGAGAGAAAGCTGGGTGTTGCCAGGCCAGGGAAGCCTCACATAGAAGGAAGACCTCTCAAGAGCACCATGGCCATCAGCAGTCCCTTCCTGTGCTTCCCCTCTGTCCTTGCCTCCCGCCAGCTCCCGGCCACCCATGTCCCCCATCCTGAAATTGCACTGGGCTGCGTGTCCTGCCCGGGGCACCTCAGCTGGAGACTCAGCCACACAGAGCACACCCACCAGAGACTTGTGGGTACCAGGATGGGGCTGGTCACCAGGGCAACGGCGAGCTAGATTATGAGCTCTGTGTGGGGCCGCCATCCAGAGGGCCTGGGGCACACAGACCACCTGAAGAACATAGTGACCCTTCCTCACCTGTGTCCTCCGGAGAGCCCTGCAGGATTGTGATGACCCCAGGGAGCCATTCCTGCTCTTGCTTCTCCAGCCCAAAGTGAACCCTCTGCCCTTTTGCAGGCAAGCCACTCTTGGTGGCTTTTGTCCCCCTGGGGTCTTTGTCCTGCGTATCCCTTTCAGGGTCAGGACGGTCTGCTGCCTGGTCCATTGTAAGCTTTCGAGCTGACCTGCGGCCCCCAGCAAGTCACGGTGGCTGCCGCCTGGGTAAGCCTGAGTACGCTGGGTGAGAAGCTTGCAGGGACCTCCTTTCCTCTGCTCCCCTCACCACCCTTTCCTTCCCTCTCCAGAAGCTGCTCTGGGCTTCCTGCCATGCAGGTGACACTCCTATGATAAATTTTGACTTCCATCAGTTTGCCAAAGGCGGGAAGCTAGAGAAATTGGAGAATCTACTGAGGCCTCAGCTGAAGCTTCACTGGGAGGACTTTGGTGTGTTCACAAAGGGCGAGAATGTAAGTCCACGGTGAGTCTCGCCTCGTGCCCGTCTCCTGCTGGGTGAGGGGGTGGGGGCAGGGAGGCGCCGTCACGGGACACAAGCTCATCAGCAAGGGCTTCCTTCCCCTGCTGTGTAGCTACCCTTGTCGTCTCCTGGGTCATAAGCTCTGTGATGCTGGGAATCTCAGGTTCCAGCCTTCCCCTCTTCTCCTCAATCAGAGATGGCAAAGCATGGTTTTCTGGCCAAAGAACTGTGCTAATGATAAAGGGAGCCAAGCACAGTGGCTCATGCCTGTAATCTCAGCACTTTGGGAGGCCAAGGTGGGAGGGTCACTTGAGGCCAAGAGTTTGAGACCAGCCTGGGCAACATAGGCAAACCTCATCTCTACAAAAACAGAAAAAATTAGCCGGGCATGGTGATACATGCCTGTAGTTCCAGCTACTTGGGAGGCTGAGGCTGGAGGATTGCTTGAGCACAAGAGTTTGAGGCTACAGTGAGCTGGGATCATGCCACTGCCCTCCAGCTTGGGTGATAGAGTAAAATGCTGTTACCAAAAAAAAAAAAAGTGGCACTCACTGTGGCACATACTTGGGAGAGTGAGGGGCTCTGGGCTCTGTTATTAGTCATGGTGGGAGAGCAGGTATAAGCCCAGACTGCCAAGGAGACGGGTGAGGACTGCCTGCCAAGAGCCAAGGAGAGAAATGAGGTCCAGCTCTCTCAGGGCACAGATATGCAGATTCCATGTCTGTGAATTCACCTATTTGCTAAAGCTTATTTGTGACCCCAAAATCAATACTCATGGCACTTTTGTCAGACGCGTTCACAGACCCACGTGCAGAGCAGGAAAACTTGAGTCAACACACGTGAACCTTCCCGGCTGACTCAAGCAAGGCCAGCCTCTGCCTTTCTTGTTCCAGTGCCCATATTGTAAACAAGTATCTTTTTCCTGACTTCACGCCACGTTCTTTGCATTTTTTGCGGTCTTTGAGGGTGATTTCATGCTTTAAAATGGCCCCAACTATGCTGAGATGCTGTCTGTCACAACCAAGCACGAGAAGGCAGCAGTGGGCCTTATGGAGAAAATACATTAGGGTAACCTAGTTCAGGCATGAGTTAGGGTGCTTGTGGCCATGAGTTCAGTGTTCATGAATCAACAATATGTATTCAATAAGGTGTCTTTTTATAGAAACACACATGAGACAAGGTTATATATTGATCAGTTGATGAAATCATGGCCAGAGGCCCACAGGAACCTAACCCTGAATTTCCCCTAGGAGCCATGGTTCCGTATTGGTAATCAGCATCCATGCAACTGTATAGATCATAGCTGCTGTGCAGAACAGGAGCCAGCTGTGCTCATAAGGATCTGGGACATTATACACACAAACTGCCGAAAATGTATTCCTTGTCTGCCTGCCATTCCAGCAGTGCTGGGGAGCCATGGGGATGTGTACTGGGGTTTCTGGGGGCTGCTAGAGAAGAGATGGGTGGTCCTCTCTTGCAACATGTTTCCTTGGGAGTTGACACCAGACACAGGCCCTTGTGCTATGGCCATTGCTTGTTCGAACACAGTGCATGACTGTTGATGTTTCTCCCTCTCGTCCTAAGTTTTCAGAAAGGCACTTTGCGGATGAACTGTCTTGACTGCCTGGACCGAACCAACACCGTGCAATCCTTCATTGCACTTGAGGTCTGTCTCTGCCGTGTGGCCTGTGGAGCCAGCTGCCTTGTGTCCCAGGGCAGGCTGGGCTGACTGGCTTCAGCAGCACGAAGAGGGTGGCGTCACTGGGATGACTGACTTGTTAGCTAAGGGGACGGGAGACAGGGAGGTGCTCAGGCATCCAGCGAGTGGGTCCCAGGGTGGCCAGCTTGCCTGTGCCACCATCTCCCTTTTCCTGTGTTGGAGGTACTTTTTTCACACCCTTTTTGGATATGGGGCCCAAAGTCTCCTAGAGAAACAGTAGTTCTATGAAATGATATCTTGAATATACTCTTGGGCAAAGGCAGTATAAAACTGGCCAGATGTGGCGAGATTTGAAGCTGGGAGGGAGACCTGGGTCTTCATGGCCCTGGCTGCCTGCCCAACCTCTCCTGGCTTGGAGTGGGGCAGAGGGGGCCAGCACCACCTACTGTCCATACCTGTTTGCTGTCTAACCCCTGACAGTGGCTGAGGGGGGAGTGTAAGGGGGTCAAAGGAGAGGCTGGGTGGAACACAAGGATAAAGTTGGGGTGAGTTGAGGTGGGAAGCCACACATGGTCTTCGATAGCGCCGCATGGTCTGCAGGCTGCTGGATAAGGAACTTCTGGGATGGCGCCTGTCGGGGGTCTCGTGGGAGAAGGCTGTGGCGACTGTCTTTTATTTCTTGCCCAGGTCCTTCACCTGCAGCTCAAGAGCCTGGGGCTGAGTTCAAAACCCATCGTAGACCGCTTCCTGGAGTCCTTCAAAGCCATGTGGTCCCTGAATGGGCACAGCCTGAGCAAGGTGTTCACAGGCAGCAGGGCTCTGGAAGGGAAAGCCAAGGTAGGGCCAGGCCCAGGGAGCAGGGTGGAGGCCTCATGGGCCCCTCTCATGGGCTGGGGGTCTGAGCTCTTACAGGTGGGGAAGCTGAAGGATGGGGCCCGGTCCGTGTCTCGCACCATCCAGTCCAACTTCTTTGACGGGGTGAAGCAGGAAGCCATCAAGCTGCTGCTGGTCGGCGACGTCTACAACGAGGAGCCGACAGACAAGGGGCGGATGCTGCTGGACAACGCGGCCCTCCTGGGTAGGGGCTCCTGCCCGCTGGCGTGGGGGTGGGGGGTGGGGGATGCTCCAGCCCCACATTCCCGCTACCCTCATGTCATCCAGAGGGCAGGTGGCAGACACTCCCAGGGGCGTGGCTGGTGGGCCCGTGGCCTGACGGACGGACCTTCCAGCTGTCCCTATGCTGCCTGGAGCTGTGCCTCTGACTGGGAGCTCCCCCCCTCCCTTCTTGGCTCGAGCTATGTTTCCAAGCCTGGAGGAGGGAGAAGCCAGCAGGGCGCTGGGAGAGGTGGCAGACTGTTCTAGAAGCGTCAGCGTCTTTGAATGGTGACCCACTCCAGAAACTCTTTTTTACTGCCCGGGCTCTTGGGCCCCTTGACAGGGGACATTGGCCTGAAGAGCGTCCCAGGAGGTTGGCCCCTGCTTTCTGTCCTGGATCCTGAGGGCCCTGTAGAAGCAGGAAGAGGAGGACACTGTTGTCTCCCTGGATGGAGGCGCCTTCCAGCCTCAGCAGCAAGACTGTCGTGATTCCAGCAATATGTAGAGGCTCCTCGAGGAACTTTTTTTTTAGTTGGGGTCTCATTCTGTCACCCGGATGGAAACGCAGTAGCATGGTCATGGCTCACTCCAGCCTCAACCTGCAGGGCTCAAACAATCCTTCTACCTCAGCCTTCTGAATAACCAGGACTACAGACTAGATGTCACCACACCAGGCTAACTTTTTTTATTTTTTATTTTTTTGTAGAGACAAGTTCTTACTATGTTGCCCAGGCTGGTTATGAACTCCTGGGCTCAAGCAATCCTGCCTCAGCCTCCCGACATGCTGGGATTACAGGTGTGAGCCACTGCACCCCGCCTACTTTTTAAAGCCCTATGTCAGCCGGGTGCGGTGGCTCAAGCCTGTACTCCCAGCACCTTGGGAGGCCAAGGCGAGAGGATTGCCTAAGCCCAGGGGTTTGAGATCACCTGGGCAACTTGGCGAGACCTCATCTCTACAATAAATTTAAAAATCAGCTGAGTGTGGTAGCGACTTGGAAGGCTGAGGCGGAAAGATCGCCCAAGCCCAGTAGGCTGAGACTGCGGTGGCCATGTCACTCCAGCCTGGGTGACAGAGTGAGAGAGTGAGATTCCAACTCCAAAAAAAAAAAGCCCTAAGTGTGAGGTATAACAGATCATTTCAAGTTTTTGGTGTGAAGGTGGGAATACAGGATGGGTGTTTTGGTTGGTAAGACATGAATTATATGAATATACATATTTAGATGTGGTCGGTTGCAATGTCCCCTTTCTTAAATTCCCAACCCTTGTCCTGTGGGATCACGGAGTAGACCCTGAGGACCAGGCTTTTCCCTGTCATGTCTGTGAGATCCCTGGGACATGATGTCACATGGCCTTTGCGACTCCAGTTGGTATAAGAGTGTGGAGATGAATTTCCCATTCGCTGTCTTCAATACCTTTATTGCAGGGAAGCCTTGTGTTACTATGGTTTTAAACCTTTTTTTTCTTTTTTCTTTTTTTTTTTTGTTTTTTGTTTTTTGAGTCAGAGTCTCACTCTGTTGCCCGAGGTGGAGTGTAGAGGCACAATCACAGCTTCTGCAGCCTTGACTTCTGGGGCTCAGACAATCCTTCCACCTCAGCCTTCTGAGTAGCTGGGACTACAGACATATGCTACCACGCCCAGCTAATTTTTAAATTTTTTTTTGTAGACACAATGTCTTGCCAAGTTGCCCAGGCTGGCCTCAAATCCCTGACTCAGGCAATCCTTGCCTCAGCCTCCCAAAGTGCTGGGATAACAGGTGTGAGCCACCGTGCCCAGCCTTTTCCCATCTTCCTAAGAAGACTCTGGGGTCCATATCTAGAGACTCATGAATGGTCTCTCTCCCAAATTTTTGGAGGGTGCCTGGAGTCTGGACCCTCAGAAACACATGCCTTTTATGTTTCCCGACAGTGACTCCCAGGATCCTGAAATCAATGACAGAGCGGCAGTCCGAGTTCACGAATTTCCGCCGGATCCGCATTGCCATGGGGACCTGGAACGTGAACGGCGGCAAGCAGTTCCGGAGCAACCTGCTCAGGACAGCCGAGCTGACCGACTGGCTACTGGACTCGCCCCAGCTCTCCGGGGCTGCTGAGTCCCCAGGTGAGGGCGGCAACTCCGGGAAGACAAAACGCAAGTCTCCCTGACCCGACCATCTTGCCTTTAACGGCCTTGCCTGCCTTGTGGGGTTTCCCATTGGTCTTTCCCTCCGATGTTTAGAAGCACCGTGGTCTGACTTTCCAGTTGATGAGCTGCCCATTTGAGCCTTTCCTTTTCCAGATTTCTTTTTCTTTTCTTTTCTTTTCTTTTTTGACTTGGAGTCTTACTATTTGTTGCCCAGGCTGGAGTGCAGTGGCATGCTCATAGCCACCGCAGCTTCGACCTGCTGGGCTCTGGCAATCCTTCTGCTTCAGCCTTACAAATAGCCGGAACTACAGGTGCACACTACCACACCTGGCTAATTTTTTCACTTATTGTAGAGATGAGGTCTCGCCAAGTTGCCCAGGTTGGTCTCAAACCCCTGGGCTCAGGCAATCCACTCGCCTTGGCCTCCCAAAGTGCTGGGATTACAGGCTTGAACCACCGTCCCTGGGCCCTTTTCCAGATGTTTAGAAGCATTATCACATGGCGAATCTCTCTGTTCTTGAGAAGTTACAGTCTCAGGTTTTAATCACTAGAAGCTTTTTTGCTGGTTTTTTTTTTTTTGAGTTGGAGTCTCACTCTGTCACCCAGACTGGAGTGCAGTGGCATGCTCCCGGCCACCACAGCCTTGACCTGGTGGGCTCTGGCAATCCTTCCGCCTCAGCCTTCCAAGTAGCTGGAACTACAGGCGCGTACTACCATGCTCAGTTAATATTTTTGACTTATTGTAGAGATGAGGTCTCACCAAGTTGCCCAGGCGGTCTCGAACCTGTGGGCTCAGGCAATCCACTCATCTCAGCCTCCCAAAGCACAGGATTACAGACTGAGCCACTGAGCCCGGCTTTTTATTTCTTTCTTTTGAGTCAGAGTCTCACTCTGTCACGTAGGCTGGGGTATTGGGCTCAGGCGATACTTCCACTTCAGCATTCCTAGTAGCTGAAACTATAGGCATGCACCACCTTGCCTGGCTAATTTTTTTAAGTTATTATTTATTGTAGAGACGAGGTCTCACCATGTTGCCTAGGCTGGTCTTAAACCCGTGGGCTCAGGCAATCCTCTTGCCTCGGCCTCCCAAACTGCTGGGGTTTCAGGCATGAGCCACCACGATCTTTAGAAGCTTTTTGCCGCCAGGAGGAAAATGCGGCTTCTCGAGCCGTGGGCGTGTTGGCAGCTGGAGCCCGGCCTCACCTAAATGCTGCTGCTGACTCAGGACAGCCTGTCGGCCTCCCCCAGGCCGACTCTGTTCATCTGCTCTAAGTGGTCATGAAAGAATTTGTGTTTGTTTATTTACTTATTTTGTAATACATATAGACAGAGTCTTCTTCTGTCATCCAGGCTGGAGTGTAGCGATGTGATCATAGCTCATTGCAGCCTCAAACTCCTGGGTACAAGTGATCCTCCTGTGTCAGCCTCCTGAGTAGCTGGGACTGTAAGTGTGCACCACCATGCTCAGCTAATTTTTTAAAAAATGTTTTCTTTAGGGATGAGGTTAAAAAATGTTTTCTTTAGGGATGAGCCTAGGGATGCCTAGGCTGATCGTGAACTCCTGGTCTCAACTCCTGGTCTCCTGCCTCAGCCTCCCAAAGTGCTGGGATTACAGGTGTGACCCAGCATGCCTGGCCCTTGTGTGCTTTTTGAGAATAGAATAATTCCAAATTGGACACCTCACCTTTTGTCTTATATCATGCCATATACTATTGAATGGCCCCAGAACTTAGGATCTGAAGAAGAAATGACTTTTGGAGAATAAGTGAGTTTTGTTCAGTCAGCATTTACTCAAGGGCCTTGCTTTTTCCTGCTTCCTGGGGCTTAGAAAGAGACTCGAGGCACCGTTCTTTGCCTGTTGACAAGTGACCTGTGGCCTGACCGACACACAGTAGCCTGTGCTCAGGCAGTCCTCCACAGCTGCCCGGCAGTGCCCAGAGCTCGTCCCCTCCCCTGGCACACGCTGCCTTCTGCTCCCCTCCCACCCCTCCCCCACCTCAGAGGACAGGCAGCAGTCTACCGTTCAGAGTCACTGGGGTTCTCTGTGTCTGTGTGGCCTGTGTAGGCATTTGTGGGGCCCACTAGGGCAGGCCTGGAAGTGCTGGGAACATTCAGTACTGCCCTGGCCCAGGAGCGTCTCCCCCACTCCTGGTACTAAAGTGACTCCTTTTCCTTTTGCCTGCAGGGAAGAGTGGGTGGCTGGAGCAAGCTGGCTGTACTCTCGCCTATTGGGGTGGACGTCAGTGAGCTCACCAGCTCACTTCTATTGGGGTGGACGTCAGTGAGCTCACCAGCTCACTTCTATTGGGGTGGATGTCAGTGAGCTCACCAGCAGTCCCACTCTAAGCCCACCTGGTTTGGGAGAAGGAGGCGTTGTAGTTACTGTTGCCAACAGATCAAACAGACAGACAGGGACTGTTTTCTTTAAGGAAAAAAAAAATGGCCAGGCTCAGTGGTTCATGCCTGTAATCTCAGCCCTTTGGGAGACAGAGAGGAGAGGATTGCTTGATCCCAGGGTTCAAGACCAACCTGGGCAACTTAGTGAGACCTTGTCTCTACAGTAAATAATAATAATAATAATAATAGTATTAATAATAAAATTAGTCAGGTATGGTGGCACGCACCTGTAGTCTCAGCTACTCAGGAGGCTGAGACAGGAGGATCGCCTGAGCTTAGGAGGCCAAGGCTGCAGTGAGCCGTGATCCTGCCACTGCACTTAGTCTGGGTGACAGAATGAGACTGCCTTAAAAGAATAAAATAGGCCGGACTCGGTGGCTCAACCTGTAATCCCAGCACTTTGGGAGGCCGAGGCAAGTGGGTTGCCTGAGCCCAAGGGTTTGAGACCAGCCCAGCAACTTGGCAAGACCTTGTCTCTACAATAAATTAAAAATTAGCCAGGCATAGTAGCATGTGCCTGTAGTTCTGGCTACTTGGAAGGCCGAGATGGAAGGATTGCCGGGGCCCAGCAGATTGATGCTGGGGTGGCCAGGAGTGTGCCACTGCACTCCAGCCTGGGCAACGGAGTAAGACTCCAACTCCAAAAATAAAAAATAAAATAAAAAAGGCTTTCAATCAGGGAAGTTAGAGGTTCCAGTTGCCCAGAGTAGCCAACAGGGAGGAAATGGACAGCCTGCCTGTCCTTTTGCCGATGGAGGCTGCTTCCCCTCTACTGAGGCCTGGGCAGGCCTTACTTTCTGCACTTTCTGCAGCATGAGTGTGGCTGGGCATGAGGGCTCAGGTGCCCAGGGGTCAGAGGTCATGAATGGAGAGATTCTGTAAATGGCCGCAGGAATTATGGTAAACCCCAGACTCCGCTGTCTGAAGGGAGCAAAAGTGGACTCGCTGGGCTTCCCATCAAACGGGTGTTTCCAACCCAGGTTCTGTTGGAGCCACTCCCCAGCAGTGGTGACAGCCTCCTTGGGTTGGACGTTGGCAGTGGACAGTGAGGCTCAGAAAAGCAGCGGGAAACCCCATGGACTCCATCCTGCAGGACTTGGTGGTTCTGATTTCTCTCATCTCCTGTCTTTTCCCCCAGATGACAGCAGCCCAGCTGACATATTTGCCGTGGGCTTTGAAGAGATGGTGGAGTTGAGTGCGGGGAATATTGTCAATGCCAGGTAAGGAGCCAGGTGTGGAGCAGGGCGGGACTTCTTGAGTCAGGTGCCTGCCAGGGAGCAGGGCCTGGAGGCGCTTCTAGACCCTGCCTGCTTCTGAACCAGTCAACCTATGGCCCTGGCTGTGTGGGTGTCTCTGATTAGGCTCCTTTCCTGCACTCACCTGTAGGCACAGACCTGCTCTTCCTTCCCTGCTAATTAAGGAAGTAGAAGGAAGAACTGATGACTACTGTGTTTTCTCTGAGGTGATCTGGGAGGCTGTGGGTTCAGGCCAGTTCACACTACTACAGGGAGCTGGTGGGTGTGAACATGGGATGGGCGGGGAGGGCAGGGCGGCGAGAGCGGCTGGTTCACATCTCCTGGGGCAAGACGTTCCTCTCCTTCACACCACGACCAAGGAAAGAATCAAAACCACTGGATGAACATGTAATACAAAGTCAGCCAGACCTTCCCCACCCCCATACTGGCCCAGCTTTATTTCAAGGAAGTTTCTGAACAAGTAAATCAAACTGATTCTGCAGTGCCCACGAGAAGGCCCTGTGCTGGGATTCATGGGTCGAAGAGGGGGCTGCCACGATGTCTGAGACACAACCCAAAATACGCAGATCAGCCACTCAAGGAAGGAAGGCGTGACACTGACACTGGGGAGCAGGTGGTGTGACATCAGTTCCGTAAAAGAATAAGCTCAGGGCTGGAGCGTTGTTGCCAGTGCCTCCAACCACTGAAGACAGCGCCCTTCTCTCTTTTTCTCTGCCAGTACCACCAACAGGAAGATGTGGGGTGAGCAGCTTCAGAAAGCCATCTCACGCTCTCATAGGTACATTCTCTTGACTTCGGCACAGCTGGTGGGCGTCTGTCTTTATATCTTTGTACGTCCATACCATGTCCCGTTCATCAGGTAAGAACATTCAGTTTACAAACATCTGGGGCACAGGGGGCTGTTCGTCTTTGTGTCTTGTTCTATGACTTCTTCCTCCCCCAACCCCCTTCTGCAGGGATTGGGACCTGACATTATTCGAGATAAATGTAGCCAAACCCCCAAGGAAAAACCCGGCTGAATAGAATATTGTCTAACAGTTAAAAAGCCACAGTGGGAAACGTCTGACTTGGGAAGCTGAACTCTTAGGAAGAGTGTTGCCTGATCGTTGTCACCCAAGCTCATTCCTGGGCGAGAAAAGGGTTTCCTTGTGGGAATTTTCCAGACAGGAAACTTCTGAGCAAGGGCTGACTCACCCATCAGGAAATGCCAAGTCTTTTGTTTCTTCTAAAGAGAATTCTATGGAAAATGTGTGGGCCTCTACCACTGTCGTGCCATTGTTGTCTCTCCATGGTGACAGCGTTGCAAGTACCAGAAAGGGAAATCTTAGGAAATGTGTCTCCTTTGGGAAAGGGTGTGTGTGGGTAAGGGTGTCAGTGTGGGTTTTAAGGTGTCGGAGGAACTCATCTTCTGCCTCAGTTTTTTTTTGTTTTGTTTTGAGTCAAGGTCTCACTCTGTTGCCCAGACTGGAGTGCAGTCATGATCACAATCACGGCTCATGGCAGCCTCGACTTCCTGGACTGAGGCAATCCTTCTACCTCAGCCTCCCGAGTAGCCTGGACTACAGGCACGTGCCACCACACCCAGCTAATATTTCTATTTTTATTTTTGTAGAGACGAGGTTTCACTGTGTTGCCCAGGCTGGTCTCAAACTCCTGAGCTCGAGCAGTTGCTCTCCTCGACCTCCCAAAATGCTGGGATTGCAGGCATGAGCCACCATGCCTGGTCTTCCCTCAACTTTCCAGTAGCCACCTATTGCCACCCAGTCTTAGGGCATTCAAGTTCCCTCCAGTCTTTCATGGCTGATGCCTGGCACCAAGCTGGACTTCCTCCTGGGACAAGCAGGATTGTCCATGTGATTCGAGCACCACAGGTATACGTTGTGGCAGCACTGTGCTCTGAGTCCCGGCCCTCGCCTCTGACTTCCAGAAGATATTCCTGGCAGTGTCCCAGATTAGCAGGTCCAGGTTGGCAAGGATTAGAGAAAGACATGGTTAGGGTGAAGGTGAGAAAGGAACCCTTCAAGAAAGGCAGCAAAGCTGCGGAGCCCCACATTTCCGGCCCTGTGTCCTCGACTTCTCGCCCCAGTGGCCCTGAGTTTGTCCACCTTGGCGAGCTACCAGGCTCATTTTGTCTCCCTGGGCACAAGTACCCCAGTAGGCCTCAGCCTGTGGCACTGCCACAGAGACAATCTGCTTGTAGGTCATGGCTCTGTGGACCTGCCTATCACCTGTGTGTGTTGTGAGTTGGCGTTCTGACATGAGCAGGAGTCTGCATTGCACAGGGGGTCCATTAGAGACCACCCACCCGCCCAGCCTAATGGACTGCTGGTTTCCCAGTTTTGAAAATGGGTTGAGTGCCCAGATGGCTGCTCCTGTGGTTGGCATGACAGCTGCAGGGGGTGAGCTGGTGGGTGGTGACATCCGTGCTGCTCCTGCTGGCAGTGAGGACCAGGGGCGGACACAGGGGTAACAGGTCCTCAGTTCCATGGGTGCTCTTGTGAGCACAGGGCACTTCTGAGTCAGGGTGTGGACGAGGTGCTCAGAGCGACTGTTGGCAGCTGGGGGAGGTGGCCTCCAGACCATGGAGTCTATGGAGGTCTCCTCGGTCACCGTTTGGGGTGGCCACTACAGATGGGACTGAACAGACTCTGATCAGAGGATCTTGGCACTCTCAGAGTGGCCCGTCCCACCACTGCTGGCTCTTCTCTTGAGCAAAGCAGATCATGCATTTCCTTAGCTGCCACTGAGCACCAACAGCCTGTGCCCTTCTGTTCCAGGGATGTGGCGATCGACACGGTGAAGACGGGCATGGGGGGAAAGGCAGGGAACAAAGGCGCTGTGGGCATCCGCTTCCAGTTCCACAGCACCAGCTTCTGCTTCATATGCAGTCACCTGACAGCCGGGCAGTCCCAGGTGAAGGAGCGGAACGAGGACTACAGGGAGATCACCCAGAAGCTCTGCTTCCCCACGGTGCGTGGGTTCAGTCACCTCCCCGCTCCGCTCAGCCCCTCACGGGCTGCTGGTAGGAGTCAGGCACTGGGGCCCAACTGTGGGGAGGGGAGGTGGCTGTGTCACTCCACGAACATGGCAGGGTGTGCCCAGAGGGCTCCAGCCCTGAGCATTTGTCTCCTCCTGACTCCAGACCTTTCCTGAGTGTCGGCATGGATCTAGATTCTCGTATGTGCATTTTCCGATTTTCCAAGTGATGATTTGGGGAAAGAAAACCAGAGCGTCCGTGCTTTGGTCTGTCCAAGCGGTGAGAACATTTGAATCCTGGTAGTACAGGACCCCATTTTCTTGAGAGTCACAGTCATCACACACTTTTTTTTGTGGCTCAGATAAGAACACGCTTTTTCTCTAGGCACCATGGCTTACCGCTGTTATCCTAGCACTTTGCGAGGCCAAGTCATGAGGATTGTTTGAGCCCAGGGTTCAAAAGCAGCCTGGGCAGCATAGTGAGACCTTGTCTCCAAAAAAAAAATACCAAAAATTGAAAAATTAGCCGGGCTTGGTGGCATGTGCCTTTCGTCTCAACTTCTTGGGAGGCTGAGAGGGAAGGATCACCAAAGCCCAGGAGGTCAAGGCTTCATGCCACTGCACTCCAGCCTGGGTGACAGAGTGAGACCCCACTTCAACACACACACACACACACACACACACACACACACACACACACAACGCGCTTTAACTCAGTGAATTCATGACGAGGCAGCCTGGATCCCCCATCCTCAAGGTTGCCAATAACGCACATTATACTGCCCCCTTGTGGCTGCCTGGAGGTTTCCCCCTGAAGCCTGAGGACATTATTTTTTTTTTTATTTTTTGAGTTGGAGTCTCACTCTGTCGCCCAGGCTGGAGTGCAGTGGCAGGCTCACAGCCACCCCAGTGTTGACCTGCTGGGCTCAGGTGATCCTTCCGCCTCAGCTTTCCAAGTAACTGGAACCACAGGCATGCGCTACCATGCCTAGCATATATTTTTTTTAATTGTAGAGTCGAGGTCTCACCAAGTTGCCCAGGCTGGTCTTGAACCCCTGAGCTCAGGCAATCCTCTCACTTTGGCCTCCCAAAGTGCTGGGATTACAAGCTGAGCTACTGTGCCCGCCCAGGACTTTATTTTTTAGATATGTGTTCTCCTTCCTGTGCAGAGATGACGCCCTGCACACCTCTGGCCCTGAAGCACCCGGGCCCTCCTATTCCTTGAAGTGAGGGTAGACTCCAGCTGTTCTCTCCGGAGAATCTTCCAGTGTCTGAGAGGTGGGAGTTTGGAGTCATGGAGCTCTTCCCTGCGAGAACTCTTAAGAACCCTTAAAAGTGACATCCCATTTACTGGGCTGCATAAGCACACAAGGCAAAAATGCCTTAGTTTTCATTAATAAGTGTCATACTTCTTGTTGTAGTTTTTATTTTTTGAGGGCTGGGTGCGGTGGCTCATGCCTGTAATCCTAGAACTTTGGGAGTCCAAGGCGAGAAGATTGCATAAGCCCATGAGTTCAAGACCAACCTAGACAAATAGAGCCGTCTCTAACAACAACAAAAATTAAATGAACTGGACACAGTGGCCTATAGTCCTAGCTACTGGGGAGGCTGAGGCATAAAGATCACCTGAGCCCAAGGAGGTCGAGGCTATGGTGAGCCATGATTGTGCGACTACACTCTGGCCTGAGCAACGAGTGAGACTCTTGACTCAAAAACAAAACAAAACCAAACAAAACAATGCTATTTTGAAATAGTAAACTTGGGACACATTCCACATAATTAAAAGATTTATAATGTAGCTCTTTTTTTCACAAACAAATACTAAAGTTACCTATAAGTTAATATTCTTCATTGGTATTGTCTGATATGGTAGCCACTGGCCATAAGTGGCTCTTTAAATTTAAATTAAATAAAATTAAAAATTTCTTGTTTGCACTGGCGACATTGAAAGTGCCCAGTATCTGTGAGTGGCGTGGCGCTGCAGAAAGTTCAGTTGGACTAGACAGTCGTTGTGTTTGCTTAGGATCATTTGGATCTGCTGTCCAAGGCTATTGTCACAGGGTGGGAGTAGTGGGAATGCCAGATAGTTTAGGGGAACAGAAGCATTTCTGGAGCCAGGCAGAACTGAGCAGAAACCGCATCTCTGTCCGCGCTGGCTGAGTAACCTTCAGCACGCGATGTGAGTTCGGAACTTTTGTTTGCTTAATTTGAAAGAAAGCCAGTAGTCTGCTTCACAGGGGCTGCTGTGAGGACAGTGTGCGCCTGAACAGTTCCCAGCCCTTGCCGGCAGCCCACCCGTGGCTGCTGGTGTCCCTGTGTGACTCCTGGGAGAGAGAGAGAAAAAAAACGAGGACCCCAAGAGCTCTCCAGGCCCAAGCTGGGGCCTGGACTTCGAGCAACTGGGCATGACTAGGGGTGGCAGGAAGGAGAGAGAGGGTCCCAGGATGAGAACACCCACGACGTGTGGAGGTTGAAGAAGATGCCCGTGCTGAGCCTGCACACTGCTTTCCCAAAGCTTCACTCACATGGTGCTGAGTGCTTGGGTAGTGCCTAGGAGGACACACAGCCCAACCCTGGGGGTCAGGGTCCATGCAGGACACACTGGTGGTCTTGCTCCCCGAGTCAGCTCTCTCCAACCCACTCAGAAACACTATGGTTTAAAGTGAAAAAGTGAGCCACGTAAGATCACCTCAATAGGCTCCAGGGTAAGTGGAACTCAAGAAACTCTGGTAGAAAACTTTTATTTACTTTTTTATTTTTGAGTCAGGGTCTTGCTCTGTCGCCCCGGCTGGAGTGCAGTGGCCCCATCACAGCTCACTGCAACCGCAACCTCCTGGGCTCAGGCAGTCCTCCTTCCTCAGCCTCCCAAGTCGCTGGTACTATAGGTGCATACCATCACGCCCAGCCAATTTGGTTTTTTTTTTTGTAGAGACGAGATTTTGCTATGCTGCCCAGGCTGGTCTTGAACTCCTGGACTCAAGCAATCCTCCCGCCTTGGCCTCCCCAAGTGCTGGGATTACAAGCGTGAGCCACTGCACCCAGCCTAGAAACCTTTTTTTTTTTTTAAAAGAAACATTGTAAGAAAAATGCTCCTGCTTGTCCTCAACCCCAAGAGCTTGTCCCCTCTTCCCCTCTACCTTCCTTGCCAAGTGGGTTAGAATGACCGTGCTTTTCTTTACAACTTAGGGGAGAAATGTTTTTTCTCACGATTACGTGTTCTGGTGTGGCGATTTCAACTACCGCATTGATCTGACTTATGAAGAAGTCTTCTATTTTGTTAAACGCCAAGACTGGAAGAAACTTCTGGAATTTGATCAACTTCGACTACAGAAATCAAGTGGGAAAGTAAGTTGTGCTTGTAAAACAGTTTTCGGCAGCTGCTCCCATCGGCATGGCACGTGCAGGCGAGTGTACAGGAAATTCAGTCCCAGGAGTGGATCTGACAGTGTTTCTGATATTGTAGAAAGCTCATGGGCATGTGAGGTGGGGCAGGGGTGGCCATCACTCACACCCCGTCCCTCTTCCACCAGGCTTTGGCAAGCCGCGTGTAGGACCTGGGTGTCTCCCTGCAGAGAGGCCCCTGCCGTGGGAAAGCACACTGGATGTGTTTACACCGGCTGCAAAAGCCAGTAGCCGTCAGTGTCTCCCCTCCCAAGGCGTGCACTCCCAGGGCTGAGGGGGGTCTGCTGTCTCGTCCCCCTCCAGACAGGCTGAGCCCTCTGTTCCTGTGTCTCGCCCATGAGTCTGTAGCTGTGCTCAGTTCCAGTGGCCCTGATGTCAGTGTCTGGGCACATCACCGCATGGGGCTGTTGAATGTGGATTTACACGAGCCACACACACCAAGTTACCCACCTCCCCCTCCTCATGGGTGAGACCGTTTGGGGACTGTTTCATTTGAGGCTTCGTGAAGCACCAAGTGACACTTTGGCCTCTGCTCTAATGACTTTATTTTGGTGATAGCACTATTTCCTGTTGGTGAAAATGCTAATAGATTATAACAATATCTAACACACCAAAATGTACACACAATCCTCATAGTCACCCTGCAGATCGGGTATAATACCCATTTTATAGAGAAAGAAGACTGAGGGCAAGGTGAGCTGGCATCTCCCAAGGTCACATAGCACACATGGCTGGGATTCTATTTCCCCAACATGGCCTGTGTGCAGTTTTTTAGAAACACCTCAGGCCATGACACAAATAGCAAAGATTCAACAATAGGATCTGTCCTCAGTTCTTCAAGGTGACACCAGCCGGCTTCCACGTGTCCCAAATTTATCTCCTCCTCCAACTAGGACTGTTTGTTTATCCGCGTGCCTGTTGGCCTCCCAACAAGATGGCTGAGCTGAGGACCGTGCGTCTAAGGTCCATTGGCCTGGAGAGAAAGAAGCAGGTTAAATGTGTGCACACAGGGCAGACAAGGTCGCTCGCAGAGCACACGGTTTGGACATTCCTCCAGGTTTTCTGCCTCTTCCCGCCTCTACCCCTGTCGGGACGAGGATGGCTGAGGGGTGGCTGGATGAACAGGTGACCACAGAAACCACCCTCAGGGTAGCTTCTTTCTTCCTCTTGCCAGCAGTCTCATGCCCTGGCACGTTTCCCCAAGGGCCCAAGTGGGCGTCTGCTCCAAGCCAGTCCACAGCCACACAGAGAGCTCAGCTTTCACACTGTGCTTCTGCATACTCAGCTCGTTAACAAGTACTGATGGAGGTCTTGTCAGGTGTGGGCGGGGCCTTGCACCGAGTCTGGAACTGGACAAATGAGACACCTGACCCTGCCTCGAGCCATTCGGTGTCTCCAGGGGGACACTGGATAAATGGGACACTGGAAGGAGGGGAAGATGCAGGGTGGTGTGTCACACAGTGTCTGGATGCGTAAAGAATCACCACTTTCTTGGCAATGAAAAGGCACACATGGCCAGGTACAATAGCTCATGCCTGTAATCCCATCACTGTGGGAGGCTAAGGTGGGAGGATCACTTGAGCCCAGAGTTCAAGACCAACCTGGGAAAAATGGTACAAAAAAATCGAAAACATTAGCCAGGCATGGTGGCGCATGCCTATAGTCCCAGCTACTCAGGAGGCTGAGATGGAAGGATCACCTGAGTCCAGCAGGTCAAGGCTGCAGTGAACCGTGATTGTGCCACTGCACTCCAGGCTGGGCAACAGAGTAGGACTCCAATTCAAAAAAAGAAAAAAAAAAAGAAAAGAAAACCACACGTATGTCCAGTTTGAGACATATTTGCAAATGCAGAGTTGCTTCTGATACTTTTCAGGTATTGTTGCTTATTTTATTTTCCAGGAACAGGGCGCCCTGGGATGTGCCTTTTCACTTGTTTTTGTCTATAACATACACAATCTGGGAGACTGAAGGTGGTCTTATGACTTCTTTTTCTCCCAATAGATTTTTAAAGACTTTCATGAAGGAGCCATTAATTTTGGACCCACCTACAAGTATGACGTCGGCTCAGCTGCCTACGACACAAGCGACAAGTGCCGCACACCAGCCTGGACGGACAGGGTGCTGTGGTGGAGGAAGAAGCATGCTTTTGATAAAACAGGTGAGTGACACGTGCACGTCTGAGAGCTGGTGGGTGTGGGGGGGGCGGGGGGTATGGTAAACACTGCGGAGGAAAAACAACACATTTCTCTGACCACGCTCTGCTCTGTAAAGCACAATCATTTTGATAACCCACAGTGACACGGAAGTCACCCAGATGTTAACTCCTAAGCCTTGGAAGTTGGGCTTTGGGGAGGCTCCTCCTCCCTCTAATCCCACCCCTTATTCTGGGGGGAGGAAGGGAGGGAAGTGTGGGGATGTCTCCTGCCTCTACACGCACTCACTTAACTCACTCACGTCCTTTATCCAGCTCATTTTGTTCAGCCAAACTTATTTTTTTGTTGGAGTCTCACTCCGTCGCCCTGGGTGGAGTACCGTGGCATACTCACGGACACCCCAACATCGACTCGCTGGGCTCCAGTGATCCTTATGTCTCAGCCTTCCAAGTAGCTGGAACTACAGACACACGCTACTGTGCCCGGCTAATTTTTTATTTATTGCAGAGACGAGGTCTCACCAAGTTGGCTGGGCTGTTCTCAAACCCGTGGGCTTAGGCAATCCACTTGCCTCGGCCTCCCAAAGTACTGGGATGACAGACTGAGCCACCAAGCCCAGCCAGCCAAACTCTTACCTGCTTAGTAGCCCAACTCCAGGCCAGGCACAGTGGCTCACACCTGTAAACCCTGGGAGGGCATAGTGGGGGGATCACTTGAGACCAGGCGTTTGAAACCAACCTGGGCAACATAGTGTGATCCTGTCTACGAAAATTAAAAAATATTAGCCAGGTGTGGCGGTGCACACCTGTAATCCTACCTACTTGGGAGGCTGAAGGGGGAGGATCACTTGAGCCCAGCAATTCGAGGCTACAGTGAGCATTGATTGAGCAACAGATTGAGACCTTGTCTCTAAAACAAAAAAACTCACTTCCAAATTGAATATGATCAAGACATGATAAAAATAAGAGTTGAATTTTTTTAATCCATGAGTTGTCAAGTATGTTCTGAACGATTACTGATGCCCAGCTAGAAAGTGAGGCTTATTTAGAGTTAGAATACCAGCCAACTAGTTCAGAAACAACATTTGCACACTTCAGGAGAGATGTCTGCTGAGATTTCAAAGCCATCTGTAGGTAGAAAAGATAAATTTTCCTTCAGATGAGTTGGAGAACACCTGTGTGGCCCGGGGCACTGGGAGGCCGAGGCCTCTGTACAAATCACTGCAGAACTGGGAATCTCCTGGACCCTGGGACAGAAACCCAAGCAGCAGCAGGGTGTGTCCCAGGCCTGTAGGTCGTGGGCAGGGGGGACAGCAGGCGAGGTTCGAATCACGTATGGGCAGTGTTTTGAACCCTAGGCTCCACAGCAGCTGAGGCCTGGTTTCACCTTCAGGGGTAAAGCGGGTGAGTCTGGGGCACAGAGGGTCTGGTGGAGACTCTGTTGTGGAAATTTCGTGATTGTATTCTGGATGCTGATATGACTTTGTGTTGCATGTGGATTTCTTGCCTGGGCCCTGCGAGTAGCTGGAGAACTCAACCTTCTCGACAGCGATCTAGACGTCAACACCAAGGTCAGCCACGCCTGGTCTCCTGGTGCCCTCAGGTATTACGGCCGCGCGGAGCTACAAGCCTCTGATCACAGGTGAGGCCCTTGCTCCTTTGCTGGGAAAGTCCGCGTCACCTCCTCCCCGCAGGGAGCCCACAAGCTGCATATAAGGGTCTGTGGGTATGCTTAGGGAGCAAAGGATAACATCACAGATGTCTGTACCCGCCACCAAGAATTAATCAAGGCTAGCATTTTGTCATGGCTCCATATCATAAATAACAGTATTTATGCAATACACAACCTATTGTATTTTGTGGCTTTTCCATTTTCTCAAATGATGTCACATGCAGCTTGCTTTTGTTACTTAATATTCTTTTTTTTTTTCCCCCTTGAGTCAGGGTCTCACTCTGTCACCCAGGCTGGAGTACACAACTCGACCTCCTGGGTTCAGGCAATCCTTTCGTCCCAGCCTCCCTAGTATCTGTGGCTATAGGTACGCACCACCACACCCAGCTACTTTTCTGATTTTTGTTTGTTTGTTTGTAGAGATGAGGTCTCGCTATGTTGCCTAGGCTGGTCTCAAACTCCTGGGCTCAAACAATCCTCCTGCCTCAGCCTCCTAAAGTCCTGGGATTACAGGTGTGGATATGTTTAAACACACAGTAGAGGATGGCATTTGAGGGTGTGGATAAGGAAGGATTTGACGTTCCCAAGTCTGCTGCCAAACCAGCATGTTGGTTTCAACTTTTCTAAAGGAAGAAATTATGTAGATGCCTCTAAGTTCTTCAGATACATTTGCACATACATACCCCGAAGTAACTCTTGGGAAAGCTTTAGATTTATGATGTTAAGGTCTGTTAGCTCAATAAGTAAATCTTTTTTTTTTTTTTTTTTTTTTTTTTTGAGTCAGGATCTCACTTTGTCACCCAGGCTGAAGTGCAGTAGCAGAATCATAGCTTACCATGGCCTCTACCTCCTGGGTTCAGGTGATTCTCCCACCTCAGCCTCCCAAGTAGCTGGGACTATAGGCATGCACCACCATGCCTGGCTAATTTTTTAAATTTTGTGTAGAGACGGGGCTTACAATGTTGCCCAGGTTGGTCTCGAAATCATGGGCTCAAGCAAGCCTCTCACCTAGGCCTCCCAAAGTGCTGGGATTACAGGCATGAGCCACCATGCCCAGCCCTCAATGAGTATATTTAAAAAACCTTCATATAACCAGTATTTCTTGAGAGCCCTCATATGCCAGGCCCTGTTGCTGGCACTGGAGGTGAGCAGTGAACAAAACAGATGAGACCATGCTCTCATAGAATTTTCCAGAGAGGACAGACAGACAACAAACAAACATGTGAAAGAAAGCAGAGTGGTGGCAGGGGCCAGGCCGGGGCTGGGGCTGTTTTCCACCCACCGTCCAGGGCAGGCTCTTGGGCTGTGACTTCAGAGCAGGGCCCTCATGGGGGAGAGAGGGGCAGGTGGGATGTCCAAGGGAGAGCAGGCCAGGGGAGCGTGACAGCGAGGCCCAGGAAGGAGAATCGGGGCTGAGCGGGGGGCGGGGGGCGCACAGGGGTGGAGCAAATGAGAAACCCAGGCCCTGTGGGGCCCTGGAGGCCATCAAAGGCACACCAGCCTCTGCTCCGAGCCAAGTGTGGGCCATGGCAGTGAGAAGCAAGGGTCTGGGGAGATTCTGAGAGTGGGGCCGTCAGAGCTGGCTGATGGCTTAGCTCTGGGGTACGAGAGAAAGGAGCTGGGGCAATGCCAAGGACTTGGCCTGAACAAGAGAAGGATGGAGGAGCCTTTGCTTGACTGGGGGAGGCGGTGGCACTGCAGACTTGGGCGAGCATTACCTCTCTAACTGCGAAAGTAGTAGACCTCTAGGCCGGGCGTGGTGACTCATGCCTGTGATCTCAGCACTTTGGGAGGCTGAGGTGAGAGGATGGCTTGAGTCCAGGAGTTTGAGACCAGCCTGGACAAAATAGTGAGATATCATCTCTATAAAAATAAGAAAGTAGATCATCTTGTTTATGGATAATTAGCAGAAACTGTGTACAAACAAATCATCCACAGTGCCATCATCTGAGAATGTCTAGTGATGGATAGTCATGAATCTTTCCACTGTATTTTCCATGTACATTAGATTTTATGCCAAAATGTTAACCTGTGTGTATGTGTGCTCATGTGTACACATGCTTACAGATTAAGAATTAGGGGCCAGGTACAGTGGCTCTCATCTGTAATTCCAGCACTTTGGGAGGCCAAGGTGGGAGAATCATTTGAGACCAGGAGTTTGAGATCAGCCTGGGCAACATAGTGAAACCTCATTTCTACAAAAAATAAAAAAAATTAGCCGGCCGTGGTGGCACAGGTCTGTAGTCTCAGCTACTTGGGAGACTGAGGAGGGAGAATAGTCTGAACCCAGGAGTTCAAGGCCATGGTGAGCTGTGATCATGCCACTGCACTACAGCCTGGGTAACAGAGTGAAACCCTGGCTCATAAAAAAATAAAGAACAAAATAAGAATAAGGATTATGTTATGCAAACTGTTATATCATTTGCTTTCTTCTTACTACATTAATAGTTTAAATTAAACTTTTTCTTTTGAGGGCATTGTAGATTCACATGCAGTTTTTGTTTGTTTGTTTTGAGTCGGGGGTCTCACTCTGTTGCCTAGGCTGGAGAGCAGTGGCATAATCATAACAGTCACGGCTCACCACAGCCTTGATCTCCTGGGCTTAGGCGATCCTTCTGCCTCACCCTATGGAGTAGCTGGGACTACAGGCATGTGCTACCACGCCCAATGGATTTATTTTTTTTTTTTTAATTAAAGTCTCACTCCATCGCCCAGGCTGGAGTGCAGTGGCACACTCACTGCCACCCTAGTGTCGACCTGCTGGGCTCCAGCAATCCTTTCCGCCTCAACCTTCCAGGTAGCCAGAACTACAGGCAGGCGCTACCACACCCGGCTAATTTTTTTACTTATTGTAGAGACGAGGTATTTCCAAGTTGCCCAGGCTGGTCCTGAACCCTCGGGCTCAGGCAATCCACTCGCCTTGGCCTCCCAAAGTGCTTGGATGACAAGCTGAGCCACCGAGCCTGGCCTATTTTTAAACTTTTTTGTTGAGGCGAAGTCTTGCTTTGTGCCCAGGCTGGTCTCAAGCAATCCTGGGCTCAAGCAATCCTCCCACTTCAGCCTCCCAAAGTGCTAAGATTACAGGTATGAGCCACTGTGCCCAGCCAGATTCACACGCAATCATAAGGAATAATTTGGAGAGTTCCTGTGTATCTTTGTCCAGTTCCCCCCGTGCTGACATCTTACACGTCTCTATTGTGGCTTCACAGCCAGGACACTGCCGTTGACACAGTTGGGATCCAGAACGTTCCATCCCCGAAAGGGTTCCTTGTTGCCCTGCTATAGCACTTGTTTCGCCGCTCCCATTCTCTCCCTAGCCCCATCCACTGCCATCTTGCTCCTTTCTATAATTTTGTCATTTCAAGAGTGTTTATATAGATTTATGTCTATGAAAATGCTTATTTTTTTATTTTTAATTTTAAGGATGTGGGGTACAGTTCAAGGTTAAGTATACAAATGTTCGTTATGCAGGCACCCTTGTTGATGAGGTGTGCGCCCCCTCCCCCGGCAGAATCCCACTACTGCCGATCCCCCCTCCCCCCGCGATTTCCCACTACTGCCAATCCTTTTCTTATAGTATTGTCACAATTGTTCAAGGTCCACTTACGAGTGAGAACATACTCAGTTCTTTGTTTCTGTGATAGATTACTCACATTACTCATAATTCTGGCCTTTAGGAAGCATTTGCTTCTCTTCTGTTTTCTGAAAGAGTTTTGAATTGGTATTGTTTCTCACTAAATGTTTCATAGAATTCTCTCATGAAGCCACCTGGGCCTGGAGTATTCTTTATGGAAAATTTTTCACTGTGAGTTCAACTTGTCTTCAAGTAATTTGTCTATTTCATTAAATTGCAAAATATATTACCATACAATTATGTATAATATTTTCTATACTTTAAATGCCCTTAAGATCTATAGGGCTATCTTCCTGTATCATTGTTGTTATTATTACCTAGCTGTTTCTGTATTTTTCTTTTCCTGATCATTCTGGCAAGAGATTTATCAAATATATTGGTCTTTTCAAATAATGACCTTTGGTTTTACTAATCTGATTGTAATTCTGTTTTCTATTTCTTTAGTTTTTGCATTTTAAAAATTATTCTCCTACACATTAACACATTTAGCAGTGTCGTGTTTTCTTGGTTAATGGACCCCCTCATATTTGAAATGACCCACTTTATCTCTGGTAATATTTTATGCTTTTATGCTCTCAAACCTTTTTGTTTTGTTTTCATTTACTTTTCCATATTTCTCTTGAATAGTGTTAGTGTGGTATAGTTTTCCCATTCTCTTATATTTATCCCAAGTTCATATATTACAGCGAGTTTCCTGTAGACTTAACTTTTCCAGGAGATCTAGACACTTGGGCCTCCTTGACTTTGTCTTTTGGAATAAGAAGACAGCAAGGCTCTATTGAGTTCCCACTCAGTATGCTCTAGCTTGAAGCTCTCTCCAGGCAATGAGCTGTCCTTATCATAGGGCTCTGTCTTTTCCCCTTACTGATGAATCACTGTCTTATACTTCCAGGTTACCAATGCCTAAAAACTATTTTTTCATATATTTTTCTGACTTTTCAATTGTCAAAATGGGGAAGCTAAATCTGTTTTCTGCTGCTTTATTTATTATCATTTTTTTTCTTTTTTGAGTTGGAGTCTCACTCTGTCGCCCAGACTAGAGTGCAGTGGCTGCTCCCGGCCACCGCAGCCTCGACCTGCTGGGCTCTGGTGATCCTTCCCACCTCGGCCTTCCAAGTAGCTGGAACTACAGGCGCGCGCTATAATGCCCGGCTAATTTTTTGATTTATTGTAGAGATGAGGTCTCACCAAGTTGCCCGGGCGGGTCTCGAGCCCGCAGGCTCAGGCAATCCACTCACTTCAGCCTCCCAAAGTGCAGGATTACATGCTGAACCACCGAGCCCAGCTTCTGCTACTTTATATCTACATGAGAAAAATAAAATTTATTGTTACATTTTTCCCTCGATCAGTTGATACACACTTAGACTGTCTACTTTTTGGTTATTGCAAATAAAATTGCTATAAATATTGAAGATTTCTAATAATTTTTTTAAAAATTTGAATTCCAGGAGTGGAGTGCTATATTGTATGTCAAATATATGCTTACTTTTATAAGAAACTACAATACTGTTTTCAGTATAGCTATACCCTTTGTATTCCAGAAAGCAATATCTTAAACTTCCAGTTTTCCAATTCTCTTTAATATCTGGTATAGTCATTACTTTAATTGTGTTCCTTCTAATGAGTGTGTAATTGTACCTGTGTAAAAGGTTTTTCAGTCATCTTTTTTCTAGATTTTAAAAAAAACTCAGCCGGGCACAGTGTCTCCCAGTACTTTGGGAGGCTGAGGCAGGAGGATCGCATGAGGCCAGGAGTTCAAGATCAGCCTAGGCAACATAGTGAGACTTCATCTCTACAAACAGAATTTTTAAAAATTAGCCAGGTGTGGAGGCATGCACCAATCGTCCCAGCTACTCGGGAGGCTGAGACCAGCGGGATCACTTGAGGCTAGGAACTCAGGACCTAGGCAACATAGTGAGACCTCATCTCTACAATTTTTTTTTTTAATTAGCTGGCATAGTGGCATGCATCTGTAGTCCCAGCTACTTGGGGGGCTGAGGCAGGAAGATCCCTGAGCCCGGGAGTTCGAGGTTGCAGTGAGCCATGATCAATACCACTGTACTCCATCCTGGGCCCTATCTCTAAAAAAAAAATTAACAATAGTAATAAAAATGGGGGAGGATGCTGTTGATACCATCACCCATCATCTCTTTTAATTTATGCAGTATTATCTCATTTCAGAAACTGCCCCATATTGCATATTATTTATATTACTCTTTGTTCCCACTTAGGGCTGTATTTTAAATGCCTTCGATAAGTTATGGAATCTTCATCTAGAGGGTTTCCTAAAGTTTTGTAAAACAGAGTAATATCCATCCCTATACCAAAATCATACGGATGGCATTTTCTTCTGTGTGTCAAGTAGATTTCTACCGCATTATTCTTACTGCTTGCATGACATACTGTATGGGTATATCATCACTGTTTCCCCACTATGGGCCAGTTAGAGTGTTTCATCAACAATTCTGTAAATGATCAACCTTGTGTATAAATCTTTGTCTGAATCTCTGGTCATTTCCTTAGAATAAAGTCCTAGAGGTGAGATTACTAGATAACAAGATGAACATGGTCAAGTGTGGTGGCTTACGCCTGTAATCCCAGCACTTTGGGAGGCCAAAGCAGGCGGATTACTTGAGCCCAGGAATTTGAGACCAGCCTGGGCCACACAGGGAGACTTTGTCTCTACAGTAAATCAAAAACATTAGCTGGGTATGGTGGTACACACCTGTAGTAACGGTTACTCAGAAGGCTGAGGTGGAAGGATCGCCTGAGTCCAGTAGGTTGAGCCTGCAGTGAGCTGTGAACCTGCCACTACACTCCAGCCTGGGCCACAGAGTAAGATCCCAACTCAAAGAGAGAGAGAGAGAGAGAGGAACATTCTTGAAACTCTTAGTGACAAGTGCCAAGTAGCCATCTGAAAGCTTAAACCCCTAGCAGAAAGACTGCCTACCTTTCCACATCCCTGACAGTACTAAGGATTACTATGTAAAAATTTTTGCTGATGGATGGTTATTTTCTGTGTACTGGGTCATATCTTTAGGGCGCTGCAGTACTTTTTTTTTCCCCTCAAATCATCCTTAGATAAAAATGCCAAAGTAATACTAAGATTGGGGAAAAGATAAAAGACCATGAAGCAGGCTAGGCATGGTGGCTCACGCCTGTAATCCCAGCACTTTGGGAGGCCCAAGCAGGAAAATCGCTTGAGCCCAAGAGTTCAAGACCAGCCTGGGCAAAAAGGGAGACCTCGTCTCTACAAAAAATCAGAAATTAGCGAGGCATGGTGGTGTGTTCCTATAGTTACAGTTACTTAGGTGGCTGAGGAAGAAGGACTGCCTGAGCCCAGGAGGTCGAGGCTGTGCACTGAGCTGTGATCGTGCCACTGCAGTCCAGCCTGGGTGTCTGAGTAAGACCCTGACTCAAAAAAAAAAAAAAAAGACTTTAAAATCCTAGGACCAGGCAGCTAACCAGCAGATTCTCCTGCTGGTGGCCACATTGGAAGATTGTTGTTGACTATTTACAGCAGAGCCCTGGGGGAGGGGGCGGAGGTTACAGATTGGAGGCTGGAGATGTCAGAGGCAAGTTAACCGTATCCCTCTTCCCTTTCTGTCCAACACAGACCTGTGTTGGCGATCGTGGAGGTGGAAGTACAAGAAGTTGATGTGGGTGCCCGGGACAGGGTCTTCCAGGAAGTGTCCTCCTTCCAGGGTCCCCTGGATGCCACCGTTGTAGTGAACCTCCAGTCACCAACCCTGGAAGAGAAAAATGAGTTTCCCGAGGACCTGCGAACCGAGCTTATGCAGACCTTGGGGAACTATGGGACAATCGTTCTTGTCAGGTGACTACTGCCCCGGCGATATGGGTGCCGGGAGGCGACAGCAGGGAACCGAGAGCGCTGCCGGGTTGTTCTCGGCACTGACTTGGCATATCTTGCTCATTCCAGGATCAACCAAGGGCAGATGCTGGTGACGTTCGCAGACAGTCACTCTGCTCTCAGCGTTCTGGATGTGGACGGTATGAAGGTATGTCTTCTCCTGGCCCGTACCCAACCTATGTCTTTGTGTGTAGACACCATGAGGTGGGGAATTGGGATTCTTCATCCTGGTTGTGGGTGTCTCATGCTTGGCCCTGGCTATGTGCAGAATGGGGAGAAAGCAAGTGACTTGGTCTGTCTCCGCTCACACCTCCATGCGGGAGACTGTTCCAGTCATTCTCCTTAGAGTATGCATTTTGGAATATGCAGCTCTAGGTAGTTTCCATTTTGATCATATCCTGGTTTTAAATTTACACAAAGACTGGATGCAGTGGCTCACATCTGTAATCCCAGTACTCTAGGAAGCTGAGGCGAAAGGATTGCTTGAGCCCAGGAGTTCCAGACCAGTCTAGGCAACATAGCGAGACCTTGTCGCTACAAAAAAATACAAAAATTAGCCAGGCATAGTGGTACGTGCCTGTGGTCCCAGCTACTCAGGAGGCTGATGTAGAAGGATCACCTGAGCCCAGCAGGTTGAGGCTTGGTGAACCACGATCATACCACTGAACTCCAGCCTAGGTGGCAGAGCAAGACCCCTCCTCAAAAAAGAAAAAAAGGTTGCACCGAATAGAAAACTTCTGGAGATAATAGTTCAGTTGTACTTAGACCGGATGCCTGAGGACTCTGCTGAGCCTGCCTGAGGTCCAGACCTTGAGTTTTTCTTGGCCAAACGTGGAGACAGGCCTTACTTCCGGTGCTCTTTGAGTGAGAGTGCCATATGATCAAAGGGAGATGTCATACTGTTTTTTTCTCTGATGGCCACTCTGCTGCCACAGGTGAAAGGCAGGGCAGTGAAGATCCGACCCAAGACCAAGGACTGGCTGAAAGGTTTGCGCGAGGAGATCATTCGTAAGCGGGACAGCATGGCCCCCGTGTCGCCTACTGCCAATTCCTGTTTGCTGGAGGAAAATTTTGACTTCACAAGTTTGGACTATGAGTCGGAAGGTTCGTGGCCCTGCAGGGAGGGGCGGGCACGCAGTTCTGCCACAACAGGTATGAGATGTCCAAGGTCCCTTCTGAAGGCCTGCCCTGCGAGGGTTGGAGAGGACCCCTCCCAGGGTGAGCATTCACGTGTGTGGATGGCCGTGCTATGGTGAAGAGGCCGCACAGGGGTTCTGAGATGTCAGGGCTGTGGGTGTGAGTGGAGCTGGGGTACTGTCCCCACTGACACGAGGGGCCCTGGGCTGCCGGAGGAGAGTGCAGGTGTCCTGACGAGAGCCAGAAGAGTCCCCCTGGGAGAGCTGTGCCTCTCACCCTCATCCACCTGCTTCCCGTTTAGGGAAAAAAATGCAGCTCATGGCCACGTTCATTGGATTTTTATATAAACACACTCAGGCTGAAGCAAATCGGGCTGGTTTTCAATGTGAAGGCAAGATATAACAACTGTTCTTGGAGTTATTTCTAAACAGAACTTGTCTCTATTCCTAACGAGAATTACAAAAAAAAAGAGAATAAGAGAATCGCTTTATTTTGTAAATGGAAATACTGCGACTAAAAACAGAATGCTATAAGAATGGTGTCATTTGTTTCTAAAGACTAGAGCAATGAGGAAATAATAATAAGAGCGAGATAATTCTTGGTAAACTTTGGGCGTGAGGTTAGGACTGACATCCACAAGTTATCTCCAGGTAAACAACTATTCTCGGGGCAAATGGGAAAAGGGTTTATTGGGGTTCTTTTCCTCTTCCCAGGGGATATTCTTGAAGAAGACGAAGACTACTTGGCAGAGGAGCTCGGTCAACCCACGGGATCCGACAACGAACTTGGTGGGGATGACCTTGCTGATGCCCCCAGCTCCACAGCCGTGGCACCTCCCAGCAAGTCACCTGCACTCCCCAAGAAGAAGCAGCATCCAACCTACAAAGGTAGCCTGCCCCTCCTTCTCTCCACAGCCTCCGGCCTGGCGTGGACATGGGACGGGCTGTTGTCTCTTACTCTCAGCAATTGGGTGCTACATGGGGTCCCCTGCAGGGGTCCCAGGAGAGGCTCACGCAAGGGAGGCTCGTGAGTGGCAGGAGCCAAGCCCGGGAGGCATCCAGCTACCACACATGGGCTCCCTCTAGTTACTTTTGTTTTTCGACTACTTGTGCCCTCATAAGGCACCATATTCAAGATCATTTCTGTTTCCTCTGTGTGCTCAGATGGCCACAATTCTGAACTGGTTTTACATCGGCAATTGTTTTCCTCCACAACTCTTCTGACTCAATCTGACAAGGGACCTATTCAGTGTCTGCATCCTGAGTTGTTGGTGCATTGTCCCGTTCATATAATATCATACTGTTACACAGTCATTTTATACAGTCGTATCATCATAGCATTTTAGACTTAAGTAAAGAGGGCCTGAAAGGTCACATGGGTTGAGTGGTAGATTACATGGTATCATAACTCTTTTGAGAAGTTCTAAAACCCACTAGAGTTACATGGCTGGCAAGTAGACGAGTTCATATTTCAGCCTCAGCTTCGCTGACACTGCTCCAACTGTCAGTCATTGTGTCCCCTGTTGGGGGTGGCGCAAACCAGTAGGTGCATGAGTTTAACCATGCATCGGGACCCTTGAGCTGGGGCTGAGAACAGGGCTGAAAGTGAGGTGAGGTGCTTCCCAGGGAGGGCATGCGTTAATACAGGCCCCCCAACTATAGGCCAGCCCCAGATTGATCAAGGGCTTGCTCACATGCACCATCAGGAGCTTTTAAATGTACAGATGCTGAGCTCCACCACAGAGATGTGGATTTTGGCGGGTGGGGTGAGCCTCTGGAAGGCTGGCAGTTCATGAAGCCTCCAGCTGGTGTGAACACACAGCCAGGTTGGAGACTGCTTTTCAACACTGAAGCAGCAGCCGTGATCAGGGCGTCACAGGGGTTCTGTGTGTGGCTCGTGCAGGGGCTCCTGCCCCAGAGTTGAAGTACCTGGAGGAACGGGTTCTTCTGAGAAGAGGCGGCCCCTTTCTCGTGGGTGGCTGTCATCCAGACAGCCTCTGGAGCCAGGAGGTGTGAGCGCAAGTGCTCCTCTGCATGAAGAAGTTACTAGAGCCCACAGGATATGTGGGTGGCCTTGCCACCCAATGGGCGTCAAGAGGGCATCTCCACGCTGCCATGGGGTGTCCAGTCATTCACATGAGAAGGAGAAATCCTGCTTCACCCCAGTTCCAGTCTCAGGGATCCATGGGGCAGAGCTGTTGGACTTGAGGGATGGGGTGTCAGAGGCCAGATGAAATGCAGGGCTGTGTTGGGGTGTGGGAGAAGCCCAGGACTGTCCTGAGTTTACATGTAATAAAACAGAAGTAGCCAGGCTCGGTGGCTCAGCCTGTAATCCCGCGCCTTGGGAGGCTGAGGTGTGTGGATTGCCTGAGCCCGCGGGTTCGAGACCTGCCTGGGCAGCGAGACCTCATCTCTACAATAAATCAAAAATTAGCTGGGCATGGTTGCGCGCGCCTGTAGTTCCAGCTACTTGGAAGGCTGAGGCGGAAGGATCGTCAGAGCCCAGCAGGTCGAGGCTGGGGAGGCCGGGAGTGGCCACTGCACTCCAGTCTGGGTGACAGAGTGAGACTCCAACTCAAAAAAAATAAAAATAAAACAGAAGCAGTTCCTACTCAGACCCCTCTTGGCCCTCTGAGAAGTGGCGTGCAGGGCAAGTCAAGCTGGCACACTCAGGTGTGTGGCCAGCAGTGGGATCTGACCAGTGAGCAGGAGCTCCCAGGAGCTGGCCCCTGGATGCCACACTGCCCTACTGCCAGAAGTAGAATCCCATCACTTGGGGAGGCTGAGACAGGATTGCCTGAGACCAGGAGTCCAAGACCAGCCTGGCCAACATAGCAAGACCCTACCTCTACAAAAAATGTTGTTTAAAAATTAGCTGGGTATTGTGGCACACACCCAGAGTCCCAGCTACTTGGGAGGCTGAGGCAGGAGGATCGCCTGAACCCAGGATGCTGCAGTGAGTTATAATCATGCCACTGAAATCCAGCCTGGGCCACAGAGAGAGACCTTGTGTATTAAAGCAAAAACAAAAAAACCATGTCGTCCCCATGGTTGGGTGGCTCTTTGGGGGCTCTGGTTTTCAACTGTCTCCTCTCCTCTGTGTGGAGTCTTGCTGATTAGGAAACATGCCTATACTTTCACATATTTCAGTGTCTCAAGTCTGAAAAATAAACCTTGTCCGCAGTTCACTGAAAGTTCCAAGCAGGCATTGGGTGCCCTCTCCCTGCCCCTCACCCAGAGAAAGGGGTGCCCATTTCTGGACAGAACTATCAGCACCCTGCGACAGGCCTGCCCGCTCTGGGCACCCTCCTGTGCACAGGCCCAAGTCGGACACACTTGCCTGGGGACAAGACCATCTCACTTACACCTGCCATGTCCTCCAGATGACGCTGACCTGGTGGAGTTAAAGCAGGAGCTGGAAGCAGTTGGGGACTTCCGCCACCGATCTCCGAGCAGGTCTCTCTCGGTTCCCAATAGGCCTCGGCCACCTCACCCGCCGCAGAGACCCCCCCCTCCAAGTAAGCCTTTGCTCGCCCCTGGCGCCCCTGATGCCTGCTGGGAATTCCCGCTGTCTCCTACTGCTGAACCTGGCTCAAGTCCTCTTCTCCCCAGCCTTTGGGTCCCCACGATACTTTGCTCCATCTTCCCTTGGGCTTTTTTCTTAAATCCAGGATAGGCTTAATGTCACAGATACTAGTGTTTCTCCTGGCAAACTAAACAACTCCTTTATGAAGCTGTTCTTGCTTTTGCTCCAAGCTGCTTTCCCTGGGAAACCTGGGAGAATTCAGGGCAGCCATGGGAGGGGCTCGTCCAGCTTTTCAGAGTCAGGAGCTCTCTCTGTGACTGCTGTCCAGCCCTAAGTCTGCATCTTAGGAATCTGGTAAAACCAGGTCCCCAACCTGTAGGTGACCAGATCACCCCTCTGTGATCTGAGACCTCGTGACCTCGGAATCAGAGCAAGCCCTCCTTAGCCAGGGTCCCATAGATAGTGGTTTTCTTCTGGCTCCTCAAACAATGTCCTACCTATCCAACTTTCCTTAATAATTCCTTAGTAAAGAAGAAGGAAATGTTCAATGCACCTGACTACCTACAGATAATAGTTTTTTGTTGTTGTTGTTGTTGTTTGAGTCAGAGTCTCATTCCGTCGCCCAGGCTGGAATGTAGTGGCATACTCACAGCCACCACAGCCTTGACCTGCTGGGCTCAGGTTATCCTTCCGCCTTAGCCTTCCAAGTAGCTGGAACCACAGGCAATGTGCCACCATGCCTGGCTGATTTTTAAAAAAATTTATTGTAGAAACAAGGTTTTGCCATGTTGTTCAGCCTGGTCTCAAACCCCTGAGCCCAAGGTAATCCTCTCACCTCCATCTCCCAAAGTGCTGGGATTATAGGTGTGAGACCAGCTAGAGAATAGGTTTTAACCAAAAGACTGCCAGCCTTTTTCAGTTACATATATCCACAGCAGCACACAATTTATTTTTATTTCAAAATTGATATCCATTGTTTGGTCAGTTATCTCTCATTTAATGTGTCATATTTTCTGTGTCATTAAATAGTCTAACACTGCTGTAAATAACCATTACTGCTAATGGCTGCAAGTATAGTTTGACATAGTTTATTCCCCTGCTTTTGGAGTTTTTTTTTTTAAGATCCCCCCCCACAAAACATTTTTAAAATTTGGTTTTAATAATAATAACAATTTAAACCATTTAAAAATCAGTTGGTTTTTTCCACTGCCATTTTAGTGTATAAAATTTAAAATACAAGCCAGGCTTGGTGGCTCAGCCTATAATCCCACACCTTTGGGAGGCTGAGGTGAGTGGATTGCTGAGCCCGTGGGTTCGAGACCCGCCTGGGCAACTTGGCGAGACCTCATCTCTACAATAAGTCAAAAATTAGCCGGGCATGGTAGCACGCGTCTATAGTTCCAGCTACTTGGAAGGCTGAGGCAGGAGGATCGCCGGAGCCCAGCAGGTCGAGGCTGCGGTGGCCGGGAGTGGCCACTGCACTCCAGTCTGGGCGACAGAGTGAGACTCCAACTCAAAAAAAAAAAGAAAAAAAAGAAAAAAAATTTAAAATATAGTCATCAACATCATCAGTTGGTTTTTATATCAGATCTGAACCCCCCTAGGATATTAGATTAAAATTTGCATTCAAGGATGGGTGCAGTGGCTCACGCTTGTAATCCCAGCACTTTGGGAGACTGAGGCAGAAGGATTGCATGAGCTCAGGAGTTGGGGACCAGCCTAGGCAACATGGTGAGACTTCATAAAAAAAATTTTTTAAATTAGCTGGGCATGGTGGCATGTGCCTGTAGTCTCAGCTACTTGGGAGGCTCAGGCAGAAGGATTGCCTGAACCCGGGAGGCTGAGGTTGCAGCAAACCTTGGGCATGCCACTAAAATCCAACCTGGGCAACAGAGACCTCAACTCTTTAAAAAAAAAAATGCATTCAAATAATACTCCTCCAGCAAATCTACATCACTAGGCACCAGCTGTCAGGGACTCAAGAGCTACTCCTGGTGCATCTGGGAAGGCCCTGCCTGGGGCGCTCCAGCCGCCTTTCAAGGCCTCAGCCCTGCCATGTCTACGGTCTGCCGGCTTTCGCAGCCGGCTGGGGATCTGGGATTTCCCTGAGATTGAGACTCTGCCCTCATTGGTTTTTACAGCTGGTTTAATGGTGAAGAAGTCGGCTTCAGATGCGTCCATCTCCTCCGGCACCCATGGGCAGTATTCAATTCTGCAGACAGCAAAACTTCTGCCAGGAGCGCCTCAGCAACCGGTGAGTATCTTCAGCTCAGAGTAGAACAGGCCAGCATTTCAGACCCCAGAGACTGTCCCAGGACCATGCAGGTTCTCTTTTCAGTGAATTTATGGATTTCTCTTCAACCGTCTGTTTGTCCATCGCCTCATCCCCAAGCCCCGTAACTCTCTGTAGCAGGTCCTTTATAGAGCTTGTAAACTGTTGTACAGAGTGTTCTAGAGAAGATCACCTTTGATGAAAGATCCCACGTGTCCCTGCCAGGCAGGCTTGCTGTTTTCCAGACTCATCTGCTTCTCTCCCTTCCAATTCTTGCCTTTGTCCTTGGTGTAACAAGCACTGGTTGGTGGAAAGGAAAATAGGAGACATTCAGGTCTTGAGAAAATGATGACCATCTGGAGTCAATTTAGTGGAGAGAAGAGACTAAAAAAGACACAAATAGTGAAATTAACAGTCAAACAGGATTGTGGAGGTGCAGGGTTCCAGAAGGTTCCATGAGCTGCTGGAGAAGAGTGTGGGTGAAGGGCAATGGGGTGGGTGGGAGGGAGGTTAAGTTGGGGTGCTGTTCTCCAGGTGGGAGAGTAGGGCCCAGCCAGGTCACACTGTCCCGGCAGGTGGAGAGGGTTAGTTAGATGCCAGTGGTTTATAATAATGAAGGTGGGTCATCAAGAATGGCCCAGACGCTGGGGGAAGAGATAGAAAAAGCACTTTTAAGGAGATGCATATCTGGAAGGAGTTTTTGTTTTGTTTTGTTTTTTGAGTTGGAGTCTCACTCCATTGCCCAGGCTAGAGTGCAGTGGCACGCTCATGGCCACCCCAGCGTCGACCTTCTGGGATCCAGCGATCCTTCTGTCTCAGCCTTCCGAGTAGCCCGAAACTACAGACACGTGCTACCATGCCCGGCTATTTTTTATTTTATTGTAGAGACAAAGTTTCACCAAGTTGCCCAGGCTGTCTTGAACCCGCAGGCTCAGGCAATCCTCTCACCTGAGCCTCCCAAAGTGCTGGGATTATAGGTTGAGCCACCGAGCCCGGCCTGGAAGGAGTTTTAATAATTCAGCTGGGCCATGCACAGTGTGGTCTCTGATTCCGCCTTCTGGCTCTTGCCTGGAAATTGATGTAAAGATGGACGATGGTTTGTCTTCATTTAAAAACCTGCAGCCACATGGTTCTGGAGACGAGGGTCATCTGCTCTAAACACCATGGTGTTCCTCTTCCTGGAAGGAGAGTATGCCTGGGGGGCTGGGACTGCCGCCTCCATTGGGGTCAGGTTGGAGTGGGTGTTCTCCCCGCAGTGTGCGGGAGCCCTGCACATTTCACATGTGTCAGGCCAGGAGGCAGTGGGGCCGCCCCATGCAGGTGTTTTCCTGCTCTGCTAATGCTTCCTGTTTCTGTCCTCAAGCCCAAAGCCAGGACTGGAATAAGCAAGCCTTACAATGTCAAGCAGATCAAAACCACCAATGCTCAAGAGGCGGAGGCAGCAATCCGGTATCTCCTGGAAGCCAAAGGAGGTGGGTGCTTGCTTGGGGCTGGGAGGAAAAACCCATTCTCCTTTTCTTGTCTTCTTGCTGCAAAGAGTCACCTAGAAAAGAGTTTCCTTATTTTTCTGGAGGCAGTATTAAATGAAAGTATTCTTTAGCAACATTTCATATAATTCTGTGCTGAGATTTATTGTCCATTTAAAATTGTATATGCACAATTCAGCAAGTATATAAAAATAATCCTGGGATTGTTCAATAGCATTTAGACTAAAATAAACACAAACAAATTTTAAAAGCGCTTAATGCTGCAGGCACTAAGTCATTCTGCCAGCTCTGTAAACAGGAGGCAGTTATGATGTGTGTCCTTATTTCAGACACAAAATCTACCTTATAAATCACTGGCAAGTGTAGACAAATTATTTCCTGTCAGGCAGGAGCCTCTTCTCCACACTGCCTGGTCGTTTTTGTTGCTTAACCCATATTAATCACCTCGGAATCACCCCTGTTCAATTGCGGTCACTGGTAACTGACACTTTTTGTTTGGGTTTTGACCTTGTTCCAGAATCTCTTTTGGCAAGAGATTATACCCTTTGAAAAAGCACATGCAATTACAGATGCCTATTTTATTTTTAGTCGGCATAGTTAACTTCTTTGGAATTCTTGAATAGTATTTAAGGAGAGCATGAGTTTGAAGGTTGAGAAATACTTTGATGGGATAATACCACCGCAAGTGGTTTCTTTTTTATTTAAAATAAAAAACTAAACTAAACAAAAACTGTGGATATAACAACCTAAGTGTCCATCAACTGATAAAGTAGACAAAATGTGGTACATCCATATAATGGAATATTGTTCAGCCTTAAAAAAAAAAAATGAAGTATGATACATACTACATCACAGGTGGGCCTTGAAAACATTATACCGAGAGAAAGAAAGAAAACACAAAAGGTCACATATTGTGTGATCTCATTTTTATGAAATATTCGCAGTAGGAAGATCCATAAAGTTAGAAAGTCACTAGTGGTTTCAGGGGCTAGAAAGAGGAGGGTGGGATGTTTCTTTTTGGACTAATGAAGGTATTCTAGAATTAGATAGAAGTGATGGAACAGGCACAGTGGTTCACGCCTGTAATGCCAGCACTTTGGGAGGCCAAGTCAGGAGGATCACTGGAGGCCAGGAGTTCTAGACCAGCCTGGGTGGCATAGCAAGACCCTATCTCTACCCCCCAAAAAAAAATTAGCTGGGTGTGGTAGTCCTATAGTCCCAGCAGCTTGGGAGGATTGCCTGAGTCCAGGAGGTCAAGGCTGCAGTGAGCCGAGATCGTGCCATTGCACTCCAGCCTGGGTGCCAATGAGACTCAACCAAAAAAAAAAAAAAAAAA